ATTAGTCTTATCGGAGAGCAAATCTATGCAGGTTTTTGTTCATTTATTCCTTCCTATTATGGAATGACAATTAATACATAGGAAGAAAAAGGGCCCCCTTCCTCCTCCAATGTTTGGAACATTCTTTCTTGTTTCATGAAACATGAGAAGACAGCAGCTGCCCATTGTGTTTTCTAGCCCACTTCTTAAATTTCCTTCAGGAGGTTTCTCACATGTTGCTTATGTTATTGAATGAGCTACATGAATGTCATTTGGTTACACAACTGATTATTTTGGGGTTGTAGTCTGTAGTTGGAATACTGTAATCGCTTCTGACTTCCGGGACAAGAAGAATCTACTGATCTATATTTCCCATTCCAAGTTGGCACCAATTTGTCCATTATTAGTGACTACGTGTTTTTAATTTTTACTCAATTCCTATCCTTAATTTTGACTTGGACATCCTCCTGGATTTGTGGCTTCTGCCTAAGGAGCAGGGCGATTTTACCTAGAGGCATTTTGTGTGCCGGTTACACCCATTTACTGAACCAGGAGATATTATACAGTAGTCATGCCTTGGTCATTTCCCATCTGGATTACTGTGATTTCCTCTGTAAGGATTCTTGAGGTCCATCTGGAAATTATGCAGCGGTGGGGGCAGTTTTGGGCATCCATATTTTGCCCATATTACATTGCTGTGTATGAGCTTCTCTGAATCCCAGGGGTTTTGTTACCTGGGGCAGAATTCAAGGTGGTGGTTTTCACCTTTGACACCAAGGTTACTTGGGAATCTGTATCTCATTGAGTGTATCTGTCCATCACATCCAGTTACAGTAGTCCTCGACTTACAACAGTTTATTTAGTGGCCATTCAAAGTTACAACGGCACTGGAAAAAAGTGAGCTATGACCATTTTTTACATGTGATCAAAATTCAGATGCTTGGCAACTGGTTCAGATTTATGACCATTGCAGTGTTCCGGGGTCTTGCGACCTTCTGACGAGCAAAGTCAATGGGGAAGCCAGATTCACTTAACAACCACGTTACTAACTTATCAACTGCAGGGATTCACTTAACAACTGTGGCAAGAAATGTCGTAAAATGGGGCAAAACTCACTTAACGAATTCTCACTCAACATCAGAAATTTTGGGCTCAGTTGTGGTCATAAGTCGAGAACTACCTATAGATGGTAGTTCTGTTAAATGCTGTCATCTAAGGGCACCTAGGATCCCAGAGATTCAGCAGGCCTTCGACTTTCTTGCCTTCTGGAATGGCTTGAAAAGCTGACTTTTCCACAAATATTGGGGTGAGGTAAAGCTGGAGCCTAACAAGACGGTATTTTGATGTGTGGGAGAGCGTTGCCTTGAGATGCCATGTGTTTTTATTGCGATTGATTGGCTTTTTTGCTGTTTTTGTGTGTGGTTATTAGTGACTTTATTAGTCTTTTTTAAAAAAATAACTATATTGACAGAATCAAAAAAGATTTGGTTCTTATGAAGTATTGTTTGTTTGATACAGACCAGTATCATACAATAAATGTTCTTTTTATAATAAATTCTTCTAAATACTAAGCACATTTAGGGAGTTGAATGATATGACAAGTTGCGGTTAACATTGGAAATGAAAAGTGTTTAAATTTGTGGCTATGATGAAGAAAGAGAGGGAGACATGTAACAAATAAAAGAAACATGTAGCAAAGAGGTACATACATTGTTACTAAGTGTTAAATAATATATTCATGTATTAAATAACATTCTGCAACGGCAATTATAGGTATATATGCAAACAATAAACAAGTGTTTATTGCACTTGTTTGTTGTTTTGTAGATTGCTCTGAGCTCGTTTAAGAGGAAGAATGATAGTAATACTTCTTATCTCAGTGAACAGATGGTAGAAACCTTGTGCTATTGAAAAAAAAAATCACAAGCTTTCCACCATCTTTAAAAACAAAACAGTATTTTAAACACAGTGACCAATAAAATGCTGAAGGTAAAAATAAATAAATAAAACAGCATTGGAACCAAATGGAAAAACAGAAGAAAAGAAACCACACAAAAGCAAACAAAATATCAATGTATTTGGAATCCTAAGGAGAAATGTTACCATCCCCATTAAGTACTTCTGTTCACAATTAGATTTGTATAGGCATAAATCTTAAGATAATTCCTATTCCAGCATAATTAAAATACCACATTGATCAGCTAAGATTTCAATATAAGTTAACTTGTTTTGTGCAACTATTTTTGGTTTTTATAGCAAAATATGCAAGTATCATAGTTTTTTCTATCAGCTCTTCAAACTAGTGCCTGTTAGGAATTCTGTAGCCCTAATATATAAGTCTAATCATGGGAATTATTGACTTTGTTTGCCAAGTGAAACAAGATTCTTAAGATTGCAGTTCAGGGAGGTTGGGAGCAGTTGTTAACATCAGCATCAAAAAGATATCCAGGATAAAGCGGAGTCCTAGTAGACAATCACCTAAATATGAGCCAGCAGTGTGCTGCAGCTGCCAAAAAGGCCAACACAGTGCTAGGCTGCTTTAACAGAGGGATAGAATCAAGATCACGTGAAGTATTAATACCACTCTACAGTGCCTTGGTAAGGCCACACTTGGAATACTGCATCCAGTTTTGGTCACCACGACGTAAAAAAGATGTTGAGACTCTAGAAAGAGTACAGAGAAGAGCAACAAAGATGATTAGGGGACTGGAGGCTAAAACATATAAGGAACGGTTGCTAGAATTGGGTATGTCTAGTTTAACGAAGAGAAGGACAAGGGGGGACATGATAGCAGTATTCCAATATCTCAGGGGCTGCCATAAAGAAGAGGGAATTAAGCTATTTTCCAAAGCACCTGAAGGCAGGACAAGAAGCAACGGGTGGAAACTAATCAAGGAGAGAAGCAACCTAGAACTAAGGAGAAACTTCCTGACAGTGAGAACAATTAATCAGTGGAACAGCCTGCCTCCAGAAGCAGTAAATGCTCCAACACTGGAAGTTTTTAAGAAGAGACTGGACAGCCATTTGTCCGAAATGGTGTAGGATTTCCTGCCTGAGCAGGGGGTTGGACTAGATGATCTCCAAGGTCCCTTCCAACTTTACTATTATTATTATTATTATTAAAGCAGCATATGGTGTATTCGGGAAAGGAAGGAAGGAAGGAAAGAAAGTATGTTTGGATGCAGAAAAAAGACAGAAACCAAGATTTCTGGGTTTTATCTTTAGATGGAAAGAGTGATGAGAAGGAATGTAGTTGGTGTGGGCCTGAAATTAGGTTCTAGGTCTGAGGAGAAAATGAGGTTACAATAAAAATGGAATAGAGATTAAATATAGTCAAATGTTGTCCTTGGTCCATTTTTCTTTTCCAGTCCTGCAGCTAATGCAATTGTACAGTATATCTGTTTCTCTCTTGTTTCTTATTTTCCTAGCAATAATTCACTATTAATACAATGCAGTATATAAGTTAATGAATTATTTGGAGTATATTTTTTTATTAAAATGAAACTGAATTTGGCTGATGAATTCTCCTTCCTTCCTTCAAGCCTGACTGCTGGGAAATTAGAATATTTGTTACAGCCAAACTCTACCTGTGATTAATCTTGCCAGGGGTTCTTTAAGGGAGAGCCAGCATCATGTACTATTACTTGAATTTAGTGTGCTTCAGGAAACCATATAATTTTCCAACTTCCTGCTTCTGATAAATGGCAAAATATGGGACGAGTAAGAGGAATACATGCATATGAAGGTCATGTATATACAATTAATACTATATCCTCATTAGGCTTATGTTTGTGTAAGTATTAATTTTTATTAAATTTTAATATTAAAATATTAATATTAAAATTAAAATTTAGTTTTAAATGTAATGAATAATGATTTAAATTTAGATTTAAATTTAGTTTTCAACAACCAAGTTTACAGATTTAAATGAATTTACAACCACAATTGAGCCCAAAATTTCCATTGCTAAGCAAGGCAGTTGTTAAGTGAGTTTTCCCTCATTTTACAACCTTTTTGCCATAGTTGTTAAGCAAATAACTGCTGTTCTTAAGTGAATCATGTGGTCATTAAGCAAAGTTGGCTTCTCCCATTGATTTTGCCTGTTGGAAGCCGACTGGGAAGTTTGCAATTGGTGATCACATGACCCCGGGACAGAGCAACTGTCATAAATACATGCCAGTTGTCAAGCACGCAGAATTTTGATCATGTGACCATGAGGATGCTCCTCAGTGCTTGTAAGTGTGAAAATCGGTCTTAAATAACTTTTTAGTGACATTGTAACTTCAAATGGTCACTAAATGAATGGTTGTAAGTCAAGGACTAGATGTAGATTCCTTGTTTTAAATTGAAACACTCAGTAATGACTGATTTTATTCCATACCAGAATTGAGTACAGGTAATTCTTGACTTACAACTGTACCATTGTTTAATGATGGTTTGAAGTTACAGCAGCCTCGGAAAAAAATGACTTATAATCCATCCTTGTTACAACCATCACATCACTTCCACAGTCATGTGATCACAACATTTATGATAGTTGCAGCCTTTTGTGATTACGTGCTTGTGATTTGGGACTTTCCTAGCCAGCTTTTGATAAACAAAGTCAATTGGGGAAGCTGGATTTGTTTAATGGCCGTGTGACACATTGACAATCATGATGATTCATTTAACAACTGTCGTAAAAATCAGGTTTTGTCACATGATGACTTCTTTAATGACCATATTGCTTAGCAACTGAAATTCAACTCCCAATTGTAATTGTAAGTTGAGGACTACCTATATTGCATTGTAGTTGCTGTTTATTTAGAGATAGCTACTCTACTTGTTGCAACTATAATACATTTAGGGAAAGGGTTAAAATTGTTGAAGGGGTTCAGTTTGCTGGATTTTTTTTTCCTTTTTCCTAGTTTACAGCACTAGGATATTTTCAAGGCTTTTACAATTTCAGAAAGGGACAGAGACAAAGATTAATGTTGGTAGCCTTTTTTGGTAGTAACATTTTTGCCATGCTTCTTTTGCAGAGTGACCCAGGCAACTGGTCAGTCCTGGAGCATCTGGGTCTGGACCAGAGCTCAGATTTTTCAGACACCAGCGTGCAGCAGAAATTGGATGAGGAGAAAGAGAAAATTAAACGTGAGATCCGCAAAGAACTGAAAATAAAGGAGGGAGCAGAAAATTTGCGCAAGGCTACAACAGACCGTAAGAATCTCTCCAATGTGGAAAACTTGCTCAAGAACTCCAACCGCAAACTGGAGACGTTGCATCACCATCTTCAGGATCTCAATGCACACATTGTGGTCAAGGACCCCGAAGAGCTGGGGGGTGAGTGTGCTAAAAAAAATTTGGGGGGGGGAGGGAGAAACATGGATTAGATATTACATGGTGCAGAGAGAAGCAGTCATTTGGAAAAGGAATTAAAAGAAAAGCACGTAGATTGTTATCAGTTCTCAGTAGAATAGGCATAATAAATTTCCCTAGAAGAAGTTTATAGCAGTAGAAAAACATTCTTAATCTGAGTTTTTGATGGTTTCTTTCATTAGGAAAGAAACAACCAGTGACACCTTTCTGAAAACTCTGCTGGCTGATGAGGAAGTTAGGCAATACACTGGTGATGTTTGTGTTTGTCTCTGATATAATGGCTGGCACTTCAAAGGAAGCAATTACTTTGTCAAAAGTTGTGCATTACTTACTTACCTAGATCTGGTGGCATCTCCTTATATTCTCAAGGGATTTTGTAGTACATTTTGTGTGTGTGTAGTATACTATATGTGTGAGAGCCAGTTTGGTCTAGTGGTTAAGACACTAGACTAGAAAGAGACTGAATTCTAGGCCTGCCTTAGGCATAAAAGTTGGCTGGGTGATTTTGGCCCAGTCCTTTCTCTCAACCCTCAATGTCAGGCTTAGGCAACAAGCTGGTCAGTCAATTCTTGTTGCAACCAAGTGTTGCTCTCCCTATCGAAAAAGTGGACTCTGCACTTGTAGAGAAAAACTAGGAAGAAAAAAAAAGATAGTACATGTGTGTGCATGAGCATCTTATCTCTACGGACTTTCCAATATTGAAATTTAAAGTAAAGGCACTTATTCAAAACCAAATACTTTGAGGTTGATAAGAGTGCTGCTCTGATTTGTAATACGTGTCTCATATATAATAAATTCTTCCTGCATGAGTAATAATTCATTTGAATTATTGTTCAAGTTCTTTAACAAATTGAATTTAGTTACAGATAGGTTGATGTGTCTAGCCTATTATTTATTTATTGGTGTATTCATTCATTTTAGCTTACTTATTAGATTTATATCCTGTCTTTCTTTCAAGAGCAAGAAATGATGTATGTAGCACTCCCTTTTCTTGTTTTTCCCCTCAATAGCAACCTCCCTTTGACATAGGTTGGGCCAGTGTTTCTTAACCTTTGCAGTTTGAAGATGTATGGACTTCAACTCCCAGAATTCTTCAACCACCATGGGGAGAATTCTGGGAGTTGAAGTCCACACATCTTAAAATTACCAAGGTTGATGTTGAAGGTTCTTCATTGAGTTGGGCGGAACATGCCCCAAAGAGCCATCTGAGCTTTCATGACTTGGAACTTGAGATCCAGCCTTTCTGACCATCCAGATAATCAAAACAGGTAACAGAAGAAGAAAAAAAACATTAAAATGCATGCATGTAGTTTAAAAAATATTCAAAGTGCTTTCCATCCCTCAGCTCCAATCCACATCCTCTATTTTTCCTCTAAAATTTTGGGCTGAGTAGTTTTCTTCTCTTTCTTCCTTCTCAGTTATTCTGGACTGTGACAGTGGCTCATTTTATATGATAGATTATACAGATTGTAGCCTGACAGGTCCAGGAATAGTAGCTGTTGAAAGATCAATATACTAATTTCAAAATCAATTTGTTTGTTTGTTTGTTTAGCAAATTTATATAGCCACCCAACTCATACATAGGTGACTCCATATAGCTTATAACATACATACATCATCTATCTCAAAATCAATATACTTCCATCATTATGCATGCATTTTATATTTTTGTTAGTTTTCACATTTATATTTCCATTGAATGAGATCTGTCAGCCACTTTTCGTATTTTAAAGAAATGCAAAGTATTAACAACCATTTATTTACTGGGTAAAATAAACACAGATATAATATCAGCATTTTCGTAACCTTATTTTCTATCCAATTCTACCTTTTAGGAAAGCATACGAAAAGAATTAATGTTATTAATCCAGTTTCAGTTTGCTTCATCTGTTACTGATGACACACAGTATCAAAACCAAATGATTTCCTTATGTATAGTTACCATTATGAACCTTTAATAGAAGTTGTTTAGTTGCCAAGGATTATTTCAGAAAGCTCTTTGTATATAATCCACACTCCAGTCTGTTGGCAAGTGAAACCTGAAAGTTCAGAAGGGAAGCAGATCTGATGAATGCTTTTTCCTCTCTTGCTTAGGGCTACCCGATCTGGGATGCGAAAGACCAGATTTGGATAGTAGCACAGTGATACAGACTAGTCTAATTGCAATCCGGTGGTCATCTGGAACAGATCAGATGGCCCTACTATTTCATTGTCCAGTTTTTATTCCAGCCATTGCAGAGATGTGGGTAACAGAAAGATAAACTCTTGATCTTCTCAGATAGGAATTAATCTTATGGGACAAAAAGCAGCAGAAAGAAAATGCCATCTTGAAGTTGTAGAGATTAAGCAAAATCAAGATCCCCCCCCCCCCAGAGTTTTTTATGTAGACCTGCCTATGTTTCTGCTCTTATCTTTCTTGTGGAATCTTGCCCTGCATCTTATCCTTTAGTAGAGGGTTCAGCAAGGTAAGAACTGCGTTTTATAAAACTAGGACTGCATCAAATGTATAAGTTGCTGAGACTTTATCAAAGAGGAAGTGGCTGCTATTGTACCTGACTCCATTCTAAAATGCACTCCACAAAATGGAGGAGGAGAGAAGTTCAGAAAGTAAACAGCTGGACTAGAAAGAGTTTGGTACATGGGTGTGGCTATTTCCTCTTCAGTGGGTGAAAAATAATAATGATTTTGGGCCCAAACTCAGAACTCCTGCAAACAAAAACAAGAAACACTACACGGAGCTTTATCAGCTTTGGGGAAATGCTACTGTGGTATATACTATGCACCCACAGCCACTACTAATTAGAGAATTCTGACTAGAAGATTGCTTGAGCTTGACTCCATTTAGTCCTACACATTTTGGTATGATGTTATCCATTCCAGAATCACTTGCTTAAAAGATATGAATTGATCAGAACTGAAGAAACTTCTTGGATGAAAAGTGAAATGTCTTCAAGGAAAAACAAAGTCCACTTGCCTTTTGAAAAACCATCTTTGGGATATGAGAGGCTCCTTTTCTTTAATCAAGTGGTAGCACTTTTTGAGTAACACATTTTGTTGAAAGGCATAAGCTTTTGAGAGCTACAGTTCACATCAACAGTTGCACTTCACCAATGAAATGACCTATAGCCCCCCCCCCGCCATTATTATTTATAAGTAATTCAAGGTGGCAAACATACATAATACAGCTTCCTATTTTCCCCACAACAACAAACCTGAGAGGAAGATTTTTGGGCTCAGATAGATTGGATGGATTTTATGCTTAAAGCAGGACAACAATTCACAATCTCCTAGTTTCTAGCCCAGCATCTTAACAATTATAGCACATCTATACTTTTTAATAAAATGTGTTAATTGGAAAACACACTACCAGATTCCCTTTGATTTTTTTTTCTACCAGAGACTACCATGATTCTCTTCCTCTAATGTCTACAATGGGAAGCTGCTTTTCTTTTAAAAGTGTTGTTCTAGTTGGCTTTCTTTACTGTGAAGCAAATAATTACCAAGTCATAAATACCAAGCTATTCTGCCAGTCTTTCTTAAAAATAAGCATCTAATTTCATAGCTAGATCTTTGTGTCAGGAAATCCAAAGGACAGAAAACACTAATTTGGAAATTTATGACCTTACAACTGTCTAATGCAGGGGTGTCAAACTCCCGGCCCACAGGCCAGATGTGTCATCTGAAAGCCACGCCCACCCCATTGCCGGCAATGGCAAAACTGTCCCAATACATTGACATGTCTGGAGATCCACAAAATATTATCTAGGACCCAGAATGTACAGAGATACAATATAAATTATATAAATACTCTAATAGAGTAGCAGTGTCCACAGAATGTAGATAATATATGCATTATAAAAAAAACCCTCCTACATAGTTTTATTTATTACTTATTTATTAATTCAATTTATATTGCTGCCCATCTGCCCGAGAAACTTTGTATGGTAGACAGGATAAAAACTGAGAATTCCATGAAACCTAAAAAAACCCAAAAAAACATTAGGTTGATTGAATCTTACCATTTTCTCTTGTGGCCTCATTGGAAATGTGTTCTTCAGTTGAGAAATAGTGTGATAAATTCTGTTACTAGATTTGACATATTTCCATTGTTTAACCTTTTATACTTAAAGAAATAATAACATGTTCTCTATTTGTCTCTCAGTTTCTCTCTCATCACTTTCAAGTAAAATATGTCCTACATTAAATTGTTTTTCATTGAAATGAGGTTCTTTCTCGGCACTAATAAGATGCAGCTGCTTTGTAACAGGTATTACCTGTTTTATGGAATTATATTTGTGAAGGCCTATGATTTAAACCAGAATATTTGCTTTTATGAGAGCCAGTTTGGTGTAGTAGTTCAATATACCAAGCTAGAAAGCAGGAGACTATGAGTTCTAATCCTCCCTAAGGCAGGAAGTCAGTGGGATGGTTTTGGGCCAGTTATTCACTTTCAACCCTAGGAGGAAGGCAGCTTCAAACCATTTCTGAAAATACTGCCAAGAAAATTGCATGGACTTGTTCATCCAGACTGACTCCAGGTGCACACACACACACACAATCCTCTTATATGTGATATACTGTAAGCTACAAAGTAGATCATATTAAGAAATCTGACCATTGTTTGTGGCAGATCTTCCTATGTCCTCCACACATATTTTAATTTTATGCCTTAATTATAACCTTTATAATTCAGAATATTTTCAAGGTATCTAAAGTAATATTTTAAAAATAAACCATGAAACTGCAATTAGCAGTGAAAATAAATGAAAAAATAAGAGCACCAAAATCTGTTTTACTAAACTAGTGTTCCCAACCAGATTGGTTAACAACCACTTTTATTATCTATAATGGCTGAGGGATGATAGGCCTTGTAATCCAACGCATTTAATTCTATGGCTGTGAAAGAACATATCAAACACTTCCTACATTTTAGATATAAAAATCATTTTAAAATTTGTTTATATCAGATGTCTATTGAGTAATCTTCAGGAGAACATTTGAAAATTGGATTACTAGTACTGCAAGAGTCCTCTTCCCACCGTAACAAAGTAAAGCATTTGACTATTAATCATTTTGGAGTAGGTAATCTTTAGATACTTCTGTTGTGACCTTTGAAAGTCAAAGAAAGTTTGAAATGTGCATTCTGAATTATGGCTAAGGCACAAGGCTAGAAACTGGGAGCGTGAGTTCTAGCTCTGCCTTAAACATGGAAAAGCAGCTGGTTGACTTGGGGCCAGCCACTTCTCTCAACCTCATCTCATAGAGTTGTTGTTGTGAGGAAAATAGGAAGAGGAAGGAGTACAGGTAATCCTTGACTTACAATCATTCATTTCGTGACTGTTAGATGTTACAACAGCACTGAAAAAAGTGACTTATGACCGTTTTTTACACTTACAACCCCATGGTCACGTGATCAATTTTCAGACCACTTGGCAACTAAATCGTATTTTGATGGCTGCAGAGTCCCAGGGTCATGTGATCACCTTTTGTGACCTTCTGACAAGCAAAGTCTAGGGGGAAGCCAGTTTCACTTAACAACCGTGTTACTAAATTAACAACTTCAGTGATTCACTTAATAGCTATGGTAAGAAAGGTTGTAAAATGGGACAAAACTCACTTAACAATTGTCTTGCTTAGTAAGAGAAATTTTGGGCTCAATTGTGATGACAAGTCGAGGACTACCTGTATTAGGTATGTTAAGTTATTCATAAAAAAATAATAAAGGCAGATTATAAAATAGTAAATTAGTGAGCAAGAGGCTAGTGTATTTTCAAGATACATTAAATTATTTCTCCAAATAAATTGGGTAGACTTGTGACTTCTTCTCTTAAGTTATTGTGTTTACTTACATTTCTTTCCTACCTAGTTGAGTGATTGGCCTACCCAAAACCTGACAGAGGATAGACCATTCCCTGGTGGACATTATGGCATTCAAACCCAAGAGAGCAAAAGCCAGAATATTGGGGTGGAAAGGAAGGATGATCAAGTAAGAGATCAACTAGAAAAAGTTAATGGGGAAAAGAGTAAAAGAAGGAATGAAAAGAAAGAAATAGTACTGTAGTTAAAAAGCAAGAGAGAAGCACTAACTCTGACAGAAGCAGCTATGTTAATGAAGTAATATTTAGTCCCTATTCACAAAACGCAACTAAGAAGGGGGAGATTCTTTAACTCCTCTATATTGGCTGCTTTTTGATAATAAACTGAAATAATTACCCTCTCGCCAATATGAGGACCTTGAGGCTCCACAAGACCTGTTCAATATAATATAAAAATGCTCAGCAGTTTTCTTGGATTTTTTGATCACTGTATATCTCTGACATTGGTAGATTCCCCCCCTCCCCCAGGATAGAGAAGAGAATGTCCCTGACACAGAGAACCTTCCATTCTTCTAGGCTTGTGGCACCCTCTCTTTACTTTCTGTTCAGAAATTCAGATGGTTCTTTTTAAGGATGTGCATCCTGCTTATATTAATGTCTATGACTGATCCCTGTCTAGATGCCCCACAGTCACCAGGCAGCCTGAGCCGATCAACAGCTACTAAAAGTCGTATTGCTGGTCTGGAAAAGCAGCTCAACATTGAGTTGAAAGTGAAGCAGGGAGCAGAGAACATGATCCAGATGTATGCCAACGGTGCTGCCAAAGTATGTTTGTTTTCCTCTCCACTGTCCTTCTTCTCTAAACAAAGGCATTTCTTGCCATTTTACATAAGCTCAAGTAATATGTCTGCCCTACAAAAGAAATATCTGCATCAGTGTCCTCAACCTGATAAAGAATCTGACTATCCATCTAAGTCAGTGTTGCCTGTTTTAGTAGCCCCATTCTCTCAAAGGTGTTAGGAAGTGTTTTCCCCAGCCAAAGTATCCAAGGCGTTTTAAATCAGAATGCATATCAGCATCCCTGGTTGCCCTTAGATGTTTTTCCTGCAAAGCAGAAGTAACAAACCAATGCGCTGATTTCCAAAGTTCCTTAAATAATTACAGAATTATCTCTTTGTTGATGCTCAACATATCTCCCACTGGAAACCTTTGGAATACACTGTTCTAAAATGTTTAAATAGTTTATAGCACAAGAACAAGCAGCTTCTGATAACTGCTACTTCAGAGGGCTCAAGTTACCTTGAAATAGAACATTCCCTAGCTTTGCAAGTAGAAATAAAAATAGCACAACATTCTCTTAGGGAAGGGGAAAAAAAACCTCATTTGGGGGTTAAGCTCATTTGGGGGTCAACCCTCTATAATTAAGCTGGCCAACTCCTTACTGTGAACCATCCTCAGTACAAAAAGATCTGAAAAAAATGCTTCTTTAAAACATCGAATGAAATGGTGTGGCCTATGACTTAGCAAATTGTGGTCTACATGTCATATATAATTAATTATATCCTTGATGCTGATCCTTATCATACAAAAGACAAATATTGATTGAATTGATCTCAGTGCTGCATTTTAGCATCCACAAACTTTGACAGAAGCAGATGCTTCTGTAAATCCTGTTTTAATTGCTCTGGCATCAGGAATGCAATATATATATGTATATATATATATATATATGTGCCGTTTGCAGTTATGGTTTCTCATAATTTAAGAATCTGAATTTTGGAATGTTCTTTAAATAAAGAATTATTTTGGAAATAATTTTGGCTGAAGAAGTAGACAGTTCTTGTGATTAACTGAAAACTCATTAGAATTCCTGTATTCCCACTCTATTAGCAACATACGAGGGTAACAGTTTCAGTCCTCAGGTTTGGGAAGTATTTATTTATTTATTTATTTATTTATTTATTTATTTATTTAAACCATCCACTTGTCACATGATTCAGGATGGTGTACATCATTTAAGAACAATAATATATTCAATAAAACCATGTAATAAAAAAAGACCGACACCCTCCCCCCCCCAGAATTTATATACTGTAGACACATAAAGTGGCAGGGGAAAAATATCATCCAGGTGGTCATACTGGTCGGAGACCCAGTGCTGAAAGGGGGGGGGGCTCAGGTCTTTAATGCCTTTTGAAAGGCAGGCGGGGTCAAGGTCAGCCAGATCTCAAAGAGATGCTGACCCAGTGGCCAGGAGCAACAACAGAGAAGGCACATTTCCTGGGTCCTGCCAGATTGATTGATTGATTGATTACATATTGGAAGATCACCCAACTCTTGCTGGATGGGCAGAATTAAAGAGAGATAACAATTGGAGATAATAATTGTAAATACCCTGGAAGGCAGTCCAGTTTGTTTTGTGTGTATTCTTAGAGCTTATTTTGGTCAGTTGGTCTGTCAGCCTGTCTGTCTTAAACCTATTGCCAGCTACATTGATTTTGCTGTGATTTTCAATACTTTTTTTTTCTGCTGGAGAGAATTCAATCCACCCCTTTGGTCTTCCATCTAGGATCGGAAGTTGCTGCAGACAGCCCAGCAAATGCTACAAGATAGCAAAACCAAGATAAACATTATCCGCATGCAGATTCGCAAGGCTGTGCAAGCTGACGAGGTGCAGCTGACTATGGAAGATGGGCAAGGTGAAGGAGACAATGAAGAAGAAACCCCTGTTTGCTGCAAGCTCTGTTTATGCTATAGCCAGGCTGTCACTTCAGAAAGGCCAACCTCCTGTTGCTCTCTCAAACCCTTCAGGAACTAGGAAATGGTTTTTGGAACAGTTTAAAGTCCTGCCTTTTCCCCAGCTGGTGTGAAGCCCCTATTTCTGGGTCTGGATACAGGTCTCTGGGTTTCCCTTTGGAGCTAAGCACATATTAAAAACAAAGGAATCTATCATTCTTTTAAGCCAGGGATCCCTTTTTGGACTGGTATACACCGTAAAATGTAAGAGCTTGTCAAAGTGACAAAATGGCTGCTATGATCGGTAGGCAGTCACAATACATCTATTTATGTTTATATCCTATCAGTGAGGCTGTTCTCTATATTTTCTCCAGTTCCTTCCAGCCTTGGATGTTCCTTTGCTATTATTTGCAGGCAAATAGTCTTACTTCCAATAGAGCACTGGACTATATTCTTCCATCATGTTTATTTCCTAAGAATATCTTTACAAGGGTTGAGGATATTCTGGGAAATACATAATAGTTAAGGCTGCTACTGAACTAGGGAAGTTGTGGGTGTCATTTCATGGCCCTGGTGCTAAGCATACAAATGGAGATAGACTGACTTTTTAATGTTCCTTGCAGGGAACACAGATCTAAGCGCCATAGAATTGAGAATTGAGGAGCTTCGCCATCACTTCCAAGTAGAATATGCTATATCTGAAGGTGCCAAAAATGTACTGCGCCTTCTGAGCTCCAGCAAAGTTCAGGATCGTCATGCTATTTCTGAGGTAATGGTGCAGTTTCCTTGGTTGGTATTATATAATAAAGATACATAAAATGATTGAAGAAATGAAATAGTAAGCAATTCAGTGCTACTGTAAATTAGTAATAATCTACAGCAGAATAGAAATAACCTAAAAAACTTTTTCCAATTATGCCATTCTCTGACATATATTTGCAACTTTTGCATCACCTGTTCCCAGACTCACATTTCTAGACGTTTTTGGCGTTACAAGTAAGCATTCTCAGCCGGTGTGCTTATTGTCCAAACACAACTTCCTGTGCTAGATAAGCTCAGTCTTTAGACTAAGCACTGTTTTAGACTATGCGATGGAATCTTAAAAATCACAATTTAGAAAAAAGTTGCATTTGATTAAATTAAATTAATATGACTTTCTGATATATTTAATAATATCCCACTTCTGGCATATTAAAAAATTACAGTTCAAAGACAACATTTGTGTCTGTTCTGGGAGATGGAAAGTCTAGAAACACAATAAACAAACATTTGAAGTGGATCACAGTTGACATTTTGGGAGGCCACTGTTGATCTGAAGCCTCACATTGTATGCCCTAGTCAATTAAATCCCACAAACAAAAAAGCAACTATTTTAATAATTGCTGGAGAAGAGTTAAAAAACATTGTATTACATATAAATTTCCTGTAGCCTGTACCATGGGCACAGGGAATATGGCACTTTGGTTTCCTACTTTCAAGCTCTGTCACTGAGATATGGCCTGGGATCCAATAGCCCACTTGCTGAAGAAGGGTGCTGAGTCTATATCATCATTAATATATCAGATGGACTGTCTTGATTTGGAAACTGTGTGAAAATGGAAGGAGCATTTAAAATGGGTCATTAATAGGCTGAGCCAAATTGGTACTTGATGATCTGGACCTTTGCTGTAGGCACAGACCAGGCTGAACGAATCAAGCCAGAAGTTGGATCTTTTGCGATATTCTCTGGAGCAACGTCTGGCTGAACTGCCTGAAGATCATCCAAAGGCCTGCATCATCAAGGAGGAACTCATCTTGGCCTCCTCTCCTGCCTTCAGTGCCCGCAATACCAGTTCCTACCAGCATATCCAGTATAATACCCTATCAAAGCCATCTCCACTCACAGGTGACTGCATTCCCCCTTCTCCCTGGGCATAGGTTGGGTCAGTCTATTGCCAGAATGTTTCAGTTTAGTTATTGACTGTGTGTAATTCGGTCTGAGCCATTTAAGAAGGTGATATAGAAATGAAATTGTAATAATTAATAACAGCAACAATGAGAACATTCCACTTAGTCAGTATCCCCATCTCATACAGTAGTTGTTTTCTGCACTTTCTAATCCATTCTTAATGTACCTTCTTTTCCATACACAAATGAGATAATAGGATTTTTTTTGCCTGATCTCTTGCTGACTCTCTTAAGGCTCAAAGAAAGTATTGTTGTTTTGTTTTAAATGTTCCAGACTTTGGTTCTTAGCAGTTTTTTCTTGGCAGGGACCCTGGAAGTGCAGTTGTTAGGCTGCAGTGGGTTGCTGGAGGTTGTCCCAGGACGTACCCGTGGCTCCACTGTATGCCTGCCTTGCAACAGTCCTGGTGAAGCACGGCCTTCATTCATGAGCCGCGGGCGAGGGCTATATAATCGCAGTGGTAGTGTAAGTGGCAGGACCACCATCAAATCAGAAGATAACAGCAGTAAGTAGTCTTGAGAGTGATCTGCACTAAAATGAGAGAATGAATAAGAGGGATGTTAATATGTTTTAGTGTTGCATTGGTGTTAATGCAGTTTGGTCAGCATGAAATGAAATCTATTTTATTTGCTCTTTCTCAACATTCCAACTGTTTCTCTCGTAGATGAAATAAGTGCTGTATTGAAGCTGGACAATGGAGTTGTAGGCCAGACCGCTTGGAAATCCATTGGCCTACAAGCTTGGAACCAGGTTTTCACAGTGGAATTAGAAAGGGTATGTGCAAAGATGGTGCCTTTTTAATGGGCTTCAGATACCAGATCTGTGCTATATAAACATCTTTCTGCTCGTATCTCTGTAGCAAAGAAGTCATGTTACCCCCTCCAATTTCATGCCATAGTCACATGAATAATAACTGCAGGGAGAGGAATCAGATTATTATAGAAATTATTTTATTTTGTGTTCCATTTGATATTTTTCATATTTATTAAAGTGCATCTATTCATAATGATCTCTTTAGTGTACTCTTTGATATCACCATTCTTCAGATAGAGAAATATGGTGAAGCCCCTATTAACTGATTGTTGGGAAACAATTTGGATCTCGATGTAGGAATGGTGGATGTGTTGTGGAGACAGTGACTGCTTGCTGCTGATCTTTTTAATGGATCTCTTCTCTCCATATCAGTCAAGAGAGCTGGAGATTGGTGTCTATTGGCGTGACTACCGCAGTCTCTGTGCCCTGAAATACCTCAAGCTGGAAGATTTCCTTGACAATGAACGCCATGAAATTCACCTGGAATTGGAGCCACAGGGCACTCTGTTAGCAGAGGTAACAGAAAAAAAAAATGATTGGCGTCGAGCGGGGTGGGAAATAACTGACATTCTAGTACTTAGATTATTTTAATTGAGTGAGTGGATAGAAAGTGTTGAAATCCAAAAAGAGCATGGTAGCAGCAACATGTCCCAAATATTGTTCTGCAATACTTTTATACAGTGAATGAATTTAAACAATAGTGATTTCTTTATATAAGTGCTATATGTACAGTTGTGGAGAGAATGAAGGGAAAGCATTATTATCTACATCAGTGGTTCTCAACCTGTGGGTCGGGACCCCATTTGGGGTCGAACAACCATTTCACGGGGGTCACCAAACAACGCAGTCCGCCATTTTTTTCCCCTTTTCCTTAGCTGTGCTACTCCCTTTTATTCTATTGGCTTTTGAAAGCCAATAGAAAGACTCTCTTGAATAGAGTCTAATTCTATTGGCTTTCAAAAGCCAATAGGAATTGTCCAGGCTGTCTCTGCCCTGCTGAGCCCGCCAAAAGTCCCATTCTGCAAACGGTGCTGCACCAGTTGAGTAGTCCTTGACTTACGACTGGTTGAGTAGTCCTCGACTTACGACTGGTTGGGGGGTCGCGGCATTAAAAAGGTTGAGAACCACTGATCTACATGCTACTAAAAAAGTATTCAGGCATCTTATTTTCCTGTTTCCAGTTCTTGCGTGTAATAATTCCACCATTAATCCATACGTGCTGTATGTTTGCAACATCACATGCTTAGATATAAATCAATTACACGAGTTTTCCTTCCCCCCCCCCAAAGGGAGTGGAATGGGCCATTAGATGTCATGGGAGCCCCACCAATCTGGCCAATGACCAGGAATAATGGGGCTATAGTAGAGAGCAATGTCTTATGGACCCTAGATCCCATCTCTACTCGGGTGCTTCATTATAGAATCAGACATTTGCTTCTTAGTTTATTCAGCCTGTAGAGAAGGTCTATCCTTATCCAATATTGATACTGCATTGTATCAGAGTTAAAAGGATTCTTTATATAAAAATTGTTGTGTGAGATTCTTCAGTTTCTTCACTCAGCCTGTTTCGATTATACCATATCAGCAATGAAATGGAGAGGGAGTCAGGTGAAAAGAAACTGACAAAGCTTTAGTTATTTATTTGAATTTATTAGCTGCCCAATTCCAATGGATTCACCTTATTCCCAGAAGTTAGCAATTTTTCATGAATGTTAAAATCCCAAGTACTTTGAGACAGGAAACGATCTTCAGAAAACTCTTAACCAGTGACAATAAGACCCACATAGTTTATGATCAGTAACTCAAGAAGGACAAAACATTTCTTTCTTTTTCTTCTCTTTTTTATATTTTTGGTGTCATTGATTAGACATGGCACTATTTCCTGTTGTGAAAATTCAGTTTTTACAAATATGTTTTGAAATAGTGTTATTACTTTAAAATAATTATTCTTACTGAACCCCATTGCAATATGCTACTTGTGTACTGCCATTTAAAAAAAAAGGGACAAATCATCATCAAAGCTATTCCCATCCCACATCTTTCTATTTGCATAAATACCCCATATTTTAATCAACCTAGTTTTTTTCTTCATGTGCAACCCCCATGTTTAATATCAGATAAGATATTCCCTGATTATCTTTGAAAAATGATGTTGCAATTTTCAGCAATCAAATCAGTATATGATGATGGAATATTTTAGCTTTGGATTGGAACTAAATTGCCTTAAAACATGAATTATCTGTGGAATACCTCGATGTATAATTTATTACAGTTTATGTAACAGATAAGTGAAAATGTCCCTGTAATAAAAGCTCAACCTTAAAAAAAAAGAAAAAAAAGAATGAATAACTTGGAATTACTGAGCAAAATTGTCAAATAGTCTGGGACGAAATTATTATTTTTTGAGGTCTTACATATTACAAGATGCTAACTTTCAAATCATCATGAAATAATGGCTTATAATGAATAAATATTTCATCCTTTTAATATTGGTCAGTTTCTAATGGAAGTTTTTACTTTATGGAAAGATTTTGCCATCACAAACAATTCACATTACAAGATTATTTGCTTATAATTAACACTATCCTTGAGATGCTAAGTGAAGTCAAAATATTTCAGTTTTGTTGTGCTTCATTAACTGGGCTAAAGATTCTTATCCTGTCCATTTGTGACTCTCCAAAAGCCATACTAGATATGCTTGCTTGTACAGCCTCGAGGCTTTAGCATGGGGCCGGATCCCACACTTTGAACTCTTAGATATGCTGCTAAGATTTTGTATTATTTCAAGCTTTCATTTTTTAAAATCTTTTCCTGCTTTATTTGTTAAACCTATGGCCTTAATCATTTTGGGATGGTGTTTATTTTATATTTTAGCCAGGTTGTGATTCACTTTGAATGTATTAAAGATAAAGAGTTAGTAGGAAAGTCTTCATAAATAAACATCTGTGATTTCTGGTTAAAGGTTTGTTTTTTAATGTAGTAGATGGAGGTTTGATCTTTCGGCTACTGTAGAAAGTGGGGCAGTAGAACTGTGGGTGGGAGCCTTGCACTCTGAGGCTCATGTCTGATGAGGTGCTGATGATGGCTGATGAAGAGGAGCAGGACTGAATTCCTCCTTTTAGATGGAGGCTCTTCAGCCCCAGTCAGCCAGAGGTTGCTATTCGCATCTGGGTCAATCTAGCTTGCGAAACAGCCTGAGCCTTAAGGCTGCTTTTCACTGCAGCAGTGTTGCAGCAGGAGCTGTTTCTCAGGATGCACTGCCCCTTTGCCTGGCTTACAGTACACTCTCTTGCTGCAGGTTATCTTTTTTAACCCTGTCATTGAGCGCATACCCAAGCTCCAGCGACAGAAGAAGATCTTTTCCAAGCAGCAAGGTAAGGAATCAGACCACAGTTTGAATCTTGATCAGCCAGCCTTGAGTACTTCCTTAATCTACAGTGTTGAAGGACTGGTCATACCAATTGCCAGCTTGGTTAGCTGTGGGAGAGAAATGGCATTGGAAATAAAGTGCTAGAATATCACGTTGGCATATTTTTTTGTGTGGAATATCTGTTGTCGTTGTTGCATATCATGCGTGGTTGTTCACTGTATTCTCATTGTGTGACTGAGCAAGGGTGAGGATGAGCAGGCCAAGGATGAGCTTCTCCAAAGTATTTTCTTCTCCAAGGGAACATTTCCTACTAGAATCTCAGGCAGAAAAATAACTTACTGGCCTCCCCAATGAAATTTAGTCTTGTAACATACTCAACTATTTTCTTGCTGCATTTAAATGCTCCATTCCATAACTTGAACACATCATTTTCAAAAAATGGCTTCAGTAGTTGCTTTCATTAAATGTTAAATACCTGCATCTTTTATGAGAGAAATACACATGCATGGGTATCTGGAAACATGCATAGCATACTTTAAATATTAAGAGTACCTCAATGCCTCAATAATACTTCAATAATTTAATCTAATCCTTACAAAAGATCCTTTACCATAACAGCTTTATTGTAATCCAGTCTTTGGGGACAGGCTGAAACATGTATAGCGTACTTTAAATATTAAGAGTACCTCAATGCCTCAATAACTGAGTTTAATGAGGATTGGAATCCAATAACATTTGGAGGCCTTCAGGTTTCCCAGTCCATGTTGGATGGAGCTGAAGGTAAAAGGATAATAGCTTATATTGGATATACAACAGATCTGGCAGAAGGGGCATGCTGCAGACCCTGTCAGTCAAGGAATTTTAACTGGTCGGGTCCAGGAGAAGAAGAGTCATTTCTTCCCTAGTTCCCACCCTCTGGAACATTGTGCCCCTCTAGATGAGATCTGCCCCCACCCCCGTGGTTTTCCGAAAGGGCCTGAAGACCTGGTTCTGCCAGTTGGCTTGTGGTCCCAGTGGGATGGTCCATGATGGAGATAGTTAGTGGACTAAGAAGATCTCATTTATATTGGCTATGTATACATTTAATAAATAAAGTAGCAAATATAAGTTTTAATCTAAGCATTTCATAACCCACTTTCTTGGCCATTTATGTAGACTTAGTTCTTACATTGTTGTCTCATCTTGGGGATTTGATCCGATACAGTATGTTTGGATTTATTCATGAATGTATGGTATTTGGATGGAGGCTAATACTAATTTCTGTTTTCCCTATGGCATTTTTCTGCATAAATATATAAAAACATAAATGGTTAAATTTGAATTGATGAAGGCAGGTTTGAGAATTTTCCTGTACCACTGATCTCATACATTTCATGATTCCTGATTTTTATGGATTAGTGTAGCACTAGGCTATTAGGTAATCAAATGATCCTTTTTGAATGGCTGGGATCAGCTTAGCAACTGGTTCATATGTATAACCATTTTTATGTCCCCCAAATTAATCACTTTTTGTGACCTTCTGACAAGCAAAGTCAATGGGGAAGCTAGATTCACTTAACAACCGGATTACTACCTTATCAACTGCAGTGATTCATTTAACAACTGAGGCAAGAAAGTTTGTAAAATGGGGCAATACTCAATAACTGCCTCACTTAACAACAGAAACATTGGGCTCCATTGTGGTCGTAAGTTGAAAAGTACCTGTATTTCTTGGCTGCTGTGGAAATGGGATGCTAGCTCTGTGTGTCTTTGGTTTGATCCCAGACATTTGATCCCCTTAAACGTGTATGCCTGCCTATGTCTCATCACTTGCAAAATTCCAGCTGTTCTTCTTCATCTTTGTCTTTCCTAGGGAAAGCTTTCTTGCGTGCTCGTCAAATGAACATTGATATTGCCACATGGGTACGTCTCCTGCGACGCCTCATTCCCACTGCCAGTAGTACAGGGACTTATAGCCCCTCAACGCAGATGACTCCAACATCTGGCTCAGAAAGTAGGCAGAGCTCTGGGTAGGTATTTTATATACTTGAAGGTCAGGGGTGAGCAGCTAAAAATCTTAGCGGCTGCAGCATTTATAAACCATGTTTTCATGTTTCATATTATACTCATTTTACTTTGTTGCTATTGGCTGATGAAAGAAAGCTAAGGTTTGGATATTTCTGAAGCCGTATATTTGAGGAAGGAAGGGAGTCCCTGCAGATTTTACTCCGCTGGTCATAACTGACTATAAGGGGCCCATTCCAAGGACCATTGAGCCAATGCTGTCCAAAGGCAGTCATGTGACCGGCATGATATCATGGAGCACTGTCTCCTTCCCACCAAAGTGGTACTCACATTTGCATGCTTTCCAACTGTTAGATTGGCAGGAGATAGGCAAAGATGGGAGTTCACTCATCGAGCAATGCTCGGTTTTTGAACCTGGGCTGTCGGCTTTCTAGCCAACAAGCTCAGCATCTTAACTGCTGAGCCATTGCACTGTCTATATTTAAGGGGCTAATATAAAATTCCTTGGATGTCCTGCTAAATCACCTCAGGATTATAGACCTAAAATAAAATCTGTCCCCATGTGTAGCTTACAACATCCCTTACTATTGACTGTGAAGGCTAGGACTGCTTTTTATTTGTAATTCAGAAACATTTGGAAAATATCTGTGTCTTGACCCCTGGAGTAAATACCTTAATTAACACAATTTCTCCTCAGGTTGTAGTTTCTGTGGTAATTTTCCACGTAATTCTTCCCCCCATCCAGGGACATTGCCATTGAGAAGCTGAACTTGGAAGGGGATAGAGTTCAAATTGGGCATTTGGGCCAGGATGATCCTGAGCTTCCTGAGAAGGTCTTACTGGTAAGTGTCTCTTTTTCAGTTTGGCAGGCAGGGAAGCTGCTATTTTCCAGCAGTTACTTCTTTTTTTATATTTCTATTTCTTTACAGACTTCACAAGCTGAGGAGGAGGTCTTTCAAATGGAGTTAGGTTCAGGAGGTGAGACTAGAGGATCTGAAAATATTTTTCACAGGTAGGTAACAGCTTTCTCCCATTTTCTGCCATCATAGACCCTTTACTTGTTTTATCTTGCTATTAATTACTCTTTCCTGTGAAATGGCTCACTTACATCTCTAACTCCTTGTTCTGTCAGCATATTATAAACAGTCTGTGTTGCAAATAAATGCATAGTTGTTGATACACTGATTTTCTACCTAGGATTTGCTTCATTAAATGTGCACAATGCATAGTGCTTCAAAAACTCTAATGCATATAGTGATGTCTGAAACGAGGATACAAATGTCACCAGTACAATGTCTGATAATAAATGACTTAATTCCCCATCATGGCAGAACATCCACAGTGTGCTGTGCTCACCTTGCAAACAGTGAATTCTAATGGGATTTGAGTTAATATATCTCTCGGCAAAACACAGTTAATTTTCTTGTCTTTAGATGTTTCTTTGCTTTTGCTCCCTCTCCTTGACCTACATCTCATATGTGCTTACTGATAAAATTATGCTAATCAAATCTGGTGGTATGCCATCAATTACATCTGCATTTACCCCATATAAGTATTCATGTGATCGTGCAAGATACAATTATTTTGATAAGTCCCTGTATACAGAAATGGGGTTATTTATTTATTTAGCTCATTTCAATCCTGCTTGAATGATCCGGAACTTATTTACCTGGTAGATAAATAATGCCTGTCTCAAATTTCCTTCTTGACCTGTTTAGATGTAGTTCCCACAGTGATCATCAGTGGCCATGTTGGCTAAGGGATTCTAAAGTCCACAAATCAGGAGAATTGGGAAAAGTTGTTTTAGATATTCATAGGAAAAAGGAATGCCCAGAGCTGATTTTGCTAAATCGTTGACTTTAACAACTTTATTTTTTGTATAAGGATTTCTGTATGTGTGTTGGGGTAGAGCTGGAGGTAGGGAGCCACCCTTGACTTTTTCTTTTATTTTGTAGCAGCCATATGAGAAAAACACCTCTCACTATGGATGATTTCCATTTTGTAGCTGTGCTAGGTCGCGGGCACTTTGGCAAAGTGAGTATTGCATACCCTCCCTCCAGTTTTTCCCAATGTCTCTCTCTCAATACAAAACGTCTGTCTCCATCTTGATGGATGCAGAATCATAATGAGAGTAAACAGTGTTTGGAATGTGGCAGTCCTGTTCCTTTCATCTTTAATATATGTTACTGTTAAGAAAAGAAAAAGAGAGATAGAATGGTATACATTGAAACAGCTCGGTTTTTAAACTTAGCATTAAACCTTGACAACACAGAAGAATATTGATCAGTCTTTCCATTATATCAAAAAAGAACCAATTCCTAAACAGAGAGCAAACAACTAATACCAGCTCAAAATTTTAAATCTAGATACTACATTTGATCTTAGTTAAAAATTCTTGGTAGCACTGTCTTTTTCTGTCATAAATGAGTAATATTTTTGTTACAACTTTAATACTGGAAATTCAATAAAATATTGGTTAAAAAAGGAACCACTCCTTTCTATCCTATCAAAGAGGGTCAGATAATAATTTAGTTCCATAGTGAAATGCAACTCAGCATATGTAGGCATACTAATAAAGCTGACATTGAAGACAGTTAAAGCCCCTATCATTATATAATATTTTTTTTAGATTAATTTTTCCTCAACAAGTCTTTCAAAACTTTAATAGGTCTCCTTTGTAACTCCAGTACAGGTAATCCTTGACTGAAAACACCACAGTTGGGCCCCAAATCTCTATCATTTGAGTGAAGCAGTCATTAAGTGACGCTTCACGTGACTGCTTTGCTCAACAACCACAATCCCATCTCACCTAGTTGCTGAGGTTAAGCAGAATGTGGGAGTGCCTCAAGGGATGGTGGAAGCTCTGGGAAGCCCAGGGCCCATTGGTACACAGAAACCTTCTATGGGCATTCCAGGAACTATAATGTATGCAAAGCTACCACAGTCCTGCAGGCCTTCAGACTGCTCTCCACCCAGCCATGCATGGGAGCCCTTAGCTAGTTCCAGGGGTTACTGGGACATATGAAGCTGCTGTGGTCCTGGACCTGCTTCTCTCCTAGCAGTATGTGGGAGCTTCAGCTGGCTTCTGGGGCTACCGGCACACACGAAGCTGCCACTGCCCTAGACGCTTTGCCCTGCTCCCCATCCAGTCACCCAGCCATGTGTGGGAGCACTCAACTTACCTTGTCATTTTTCTGAAGCTTTTGACAGACACGGCAGCCAATGAGAGGGGTGGTCTTCCTCCAGAGGTGGCCTCATGCCATTCTACAAGTGGGTGCTGTTCTTGCAATCCTTTAGGAGAGGGGTCTCCAACCTTGGCAACTTTAAGACTTGTGGACTTCAACTCCCAGAATTCCCCAGCCAGCCATGCTTGCTAGGGAATTCTGGGAATTGAAGTCCACAAGTCTTAAAGTTGCCATTGTAGGTTGTCTTGCATATGTTCTAAAAGCTCCAAAACTTTATTTTTCAAGTTTTTTTAAGTTTTTTATTTTCCCCTGAAACGTGCAGTCATATGGCTACAAATATATGCCTTAAATGTATCCAAAACAACGATTTTAAGGAATCTTTTCATAACATATATGTATCTTGGAAAAAATAGGATGACACTGTTTATAACTGTTGGTGTTACCAAAACAAGATCAGTTATTGCAATAGGACTTATATTACATTTATATGCCTGATCAGAATCAAAATACTAAAAAACAATCAAGCTGAGAACAAACCTGATGCAGAGCTGAAAGATATTTTTTTCTCTGTGAGCCTGCTTTGCATTTCCTGACCACTATTCTTAGTCACTGATCAATATCTTAAATAACGACTTTGCTTCTGTTCATGTTTTATATAGGTGTTGTTATCTGAGTTACACCGAACAAAAGAACTGTTTGCTATTAAGGCCTTAAAGAAAGGGGATATTGTTGCAAGAGATGAAGTAGAGAGGTGAGTTAACTGTGAGTTAGAAATGGAAAGGGTAAATGCCCAGACAAATATGTAATCATAGTATAGAACTGCTCAAATGTGCAAGTGTATTAAAGTCTGTTCTTTTTTAATGATGTGTAGTTGTGCACCACTGCAATTATGAAAGTGATAGTTAACATGACTAAGGATCGAATTGCATATAGCTGTCTTCCATCTTGATAATAATTTCCCCCCTCTTCCTAGCCTGATGTGCGAGAAGCGGATTTTTGAGATTGTGACCCAAGCACGGCATCCTTTCCTAGTGAACCTTTTCGCCTGTTTCCAGACACCCCAGCATGTCTGTTTTGTCATGGAGTACACAGCAGGTGGAGACCTCATGATGCACATACACACTGATGTTTTTTCAGAGCCACGTGCAACGTAAGTGCCACATCAGAGAGAAGACAGACCTTACAGTACAAAAAAATGCATCTAAAGGGTTCCTGAAAGAACCTTGTTGGGTGCCATTTTAAATGTTGCTATCCTTCCAATATACTGAGAGCAGATTTTCAGCCCCATTTATTTGTTATATCATTATTCTCTCTTAGATTATAGCTCCCACAAATGGGAATCATTGTTGATTACCAGAATAGAGCTGGCATTACCTCTGCTGCAGGGTTTCACAGTTTGTTTTCACCTTCAGGTTTTATGCTGCTTGTGTCGTCCTGGGCCTGCAGTTTCTTCATGACCACAAGATAGTATATAGGTATGTATCACTGTTAAAGCCATTCCATATGTTCCCTTTCTTTCATAGTCTTTTCTGCATCTTTTCACATCATCATATTATTATACCATAGGTAGTACTCATTTACTGACCACAGTTGGGATTGGCAACTCCATTGCTACTGACAGAGTTGGAAAGTGAAATGTCATATGACTGCAGTAACTTATGATTTCTGTTCTAGCTGCAGTTATTAAGCAAATCACCTTGGTTATTAAACATGTCATATTATTTTAACTTGTGACTTCCTGCCAGCTTCCCTATTGACTTTGCTTTGAAGATCATCGATGGCAATCACATGATTCCAGGACACTGTAACCATTTTAAATATGCACTGATTGCCAAGTGCCCAAATTATAATCATGTGGGGGGGGGCACTGACGGTTGCAAGTATGAGGACTAGTCTCCTTTTTCAATGTGGTCTCAACATTGGTTGCTTAATGAGCAGTCAGTAAGGAAGAACTATTTGCATATTAATTTCCAATTCTTTTCATATGAGTAACTACATTCACTTAGCAAGGATAAGCGTTGTTCAAACCATTTCTCCTAAACTTGACTTTTGAAATGTAGTAATGTCTTTAGATCCTGCCACAAAGAGCTAAGGTTATAATGGAGGATTCCTGTTTAAAACGTTTAGTAATTCCATTGTCTGATTTTTGTGGCAGTAAGTAAGAATTCCTGCAAAATGCAGTAGTTATTTTACTTAAAAGCTTTCTTATCCTTCAGGGATCTGAAGCTGGATAACCTACTATTGGACACAGAAGGCTTTGTGAAAATTGCAGATTTTGGCCTCTGCAAAGAAGGTGATTTGGGGGGATGGGTTAATTTCTCCAAAGTTGGCATAAATATTTTAAATAAAATGAAAACATAATGTGTCTCTCGGATTATGCTGGCTTGATTAGTAGAAGCTGATCTGCAACTGTTCCAAAAAAACTTAGGTGTCCGTTAGGGAGAGCAGAACTGCAAAAGAGGTGAGAGAAGCATCTATTTTGCCAAGATTTTTTGTACAATCATCATGCATGTATTGGTAGTCTTGTGATACACAAAAATATAAAAGTTAGCAGTAAATGTTGGGGAAAAATTCCTATTCTGGGGGATTTCTAGGGGCTGTGGTCAATGACATCAAAATGTCAAATATAAGCAGGTGATCAAGTCCCGCACCATTTTACATTTTACAGCATTAAGGGGTGGGTTGGGACTTCAATTGCTCATTTTTACACTCACATTTGGATGCCATTCCCGCTCCCCCGGGCTGTGGACAATGCTGTTCCTATTTCAGAACTTTCTATGAAGATTTTGAAATTTTTGATGTTCTCTACACTTTTGTTGAGGATTGTTGCTGAAGTCATATTTCTTTTTGTTTTCCAGGAATGGGCTATGCTGACCGTACCAGCACATTCTGTGGGACACCAGAGTTTCTGGCTCCTGAGGTGCTTACAGACACCTCCTATACAAGAGCAGTCGATTGGTGGGGCTTGGGGGTCCTTACCTATGAGATGCTTGTAGGTGAGGTAAGTCACCCTTATATAATTACGGAAAATGGCAAGTGGGACAAAAAAGGGTTTTGGATTAGATGCTTGGGAATGGGTCTTTACTGTTTGAAATCATGCCATTAAACATTAAGGGAAAAATAAACTAAGTAGTGTATTTATATGTGTGGCAGGGAGCTTGATACAGGAGGCTAAAGTATTTCTTAATCTGGGCAACTTCCAAGTGTGTGGCCTTCAGACTCTCAAAATTCCCCAGGAAACATGGATGTTGCTTGAACTCTGGGAGTTTAAGACTGGAAACTATCCAGGTTTGGAGATTCTGATCCAGTTTCTCAAGTTTTTCCGGGAATCTAGGATTGGTGAGGATGGATGGAATTGATTCTGAGAAGGATGGAAGAATCCAGACTAATATCCAATTCTGTCCCAATTGATGTTGTAGTCCCCATTCCCAGGAGACGACGAAGAAGAAGTATTTGACAGCATTGTCAACGATGAGGTGCGCTACCCCCGTTTTCTTTCCACAGAGGCAATTGGAATCATGCGCCGGGTGAGTGCCTCCTGCTTCAGCTGTAAATTTGCTAGGACTAAAACTAGAGAAGAGATTCTTCTAATGGGGTTGTAGGATTAGGAGAACACAGGGAGGGAGACTTGAACATAATGAACATAGGTTTAGTTGCAATGTTTCCATACTGACATTAGATTTGGGGTAGGCAGGAAAACATAAAACAGGATATAGCCATGGAAAATATTGTTCTGGGCTTGGAGGAGATGGTGGTGGGTAAGACCTGTTTTGTCTGCCCTTATTGATTTGATGTTGACAACCTCAATTTTCATTTAGCTGCTGCGTCGGAATCCAGAAAGACGCCTGGGTTCTAGTGAGCGTGATGCGGAGGATGTGAAGAAGCACCCATTTTTCAGAGTAAGTACCTTGTTCCTTTTCTGTTCTTTCTTCAGATTGTTAGTTATGGATTCTTTCAAAAAAAGTTCTGCACTATCTTCTGGGCTGAAACTATCAATTGAGATCATCCTTCACTAGAGCTATACTAGAACAACCAAGACAGTATTCCTTTGTGCCTTCTTAGAGAAAGACACACTGTTGTAGCATAAAAAGCAGTCCCTTATATGTCTGCTTTAAAGGCAGAGAAATTTTAATCCATTAAAACATAGGCTACTTTCATATATCTGATCACATTTATGCTATTAAAAAAAGCAGTCTTGTTGCACCCAAAAGACTTTTACTGTCTGTGGACAGTTTCTCTTTTTCTGAAGTGGGAGATTTCCTGCACTATTTCTGCATCTAAAATCTATAGCTCGAATGAAGTACAGTAGAAATGGCCACCAAATGAGGATTTTGAAAAGAAAGCTTCTTGCTAGGACACGGATGGTTTTTATTGTTAATTATTGCTGTAGGCTCCATATATTTCCAGCATCTTGTAGCTTATTTTGCATACTTTTCTTGCTTCAGTTATTCAGTGTGTTATTTATTTATATAATTTCCTTTTCTAATTTAATAGTAACAATCATCTCAAAGAAGTCAAGAGTTCTTACTTTTTTCCCCCCTGTACACAGAGCATTGAATGGGAAGCTTTGCTGGCTCGTAAGGTCAAACCACCCTTTGTGCCAGTAATTAAGGGCCGTGAAGACATCAGCAACTTCGATGAGGAGTTTACAGCTGAAGCAGCTGTGCTGACACCACCCCGTGAATCACGGCCCCTCACTCAAAAGGAACAGGATGCCTTCAAAGATTTTGATTATGTCTCCAGCGTCTGCTAGCTCTGGAAGTGACGGCAAGGAGACCTCCTCAACACTGCCAGCTCTGTGAGGCAGAATTCTGTTCCTCCATTGACTCAAGACACTTCCTAGTACTGCCTGCTAGCCCCAGAAGCAAAATCCAGAAAACCCCAATCACATTGCTAGCAAAATGTGGAATGAGTAGTGTTTCACCAATGTATGCCTGCTCTGGGATTAGAAGGGCAAATTCCAGTAATGTTTTTGCATTGTCCAGACAACAGCATAATTCATGCAGAAAGGTGGGCACCTGCTGGCTCAAAGGGAGGGGAGGAAAGAGAAAGAACGGGAGAAAGAAAGAAGGAAAGCCAAACATAACTTGGTCAACCTGCATCTTCATGAAACTGTTGCATACGATGATTTCCAAACTTTCTGCTGGAACAAGCAAAACTATTATTAGGAATCCACCAGTACTGGAGATTCTGAAGTCAAAGGGCCATTCTTTGCCCTAACATACTGAAGGATTTTTTAAAAGCATATTGTGAAAAAAAGGGGTTGCCTTTCTGATAACAGTTGCTGAAATTCACTGCTTGAAATTCTAACCCAGAAGGGAAAACTGAATCTCATTCTGCATCACAGCTTTCTATCAGTGCACAAACTCTCTTGGGTCGATTTTGAACCAACTCTGTAATTCTGGGCTTTCTTTACAACCATTTGCAAAAAGCTCATGGTTTTTTTCCCCTCAAGAAGTATCTCCATGTTCATAAGATAGACATATGTACTGCTAGTGAATGTGTGTAAATTATTATCTTACTCTTCCTGGGAATTCACAGGCTTTGTACCCATCCCATAGCAGTAGCTGGGGCAGAAAGCTTCTTAAGGTCCTAGGTCCCATACTCTGAACAAATTTGTTTGGGTATTAGTGAACATCTAGATCTGGTTGGGAAATAACGGCATTAAAATAATTGCAAGAAACAATCAAGAAAATAGTGGCACCAAATGAAAAATTATTGCTCGTGTGATTCTGGTCACCAAATTATAGTAATTTAATGAAAGTTACATCACACTTGAATAGTGTAAGAACTATATACCTGCACCTTCACCACAGCTAGTTTTCAGTTAAATGGCCAACAAACCATACATACAGAGGCTTATTTAATAAACTGGAGGAGAATTTCTCAGGACAAAATACTTGATTCAGTGAGGGGATATACTTGATTATAGAGCAAAATCATTGTGGATTTCAGAGCAACATGAACTCAAATCCATCATTTGGAAGTAATGATCAAATTGTTTAATTTCCATTTTATATCCCAGTTCTCTTGGAGATCTGCACACTATTATGCCAAGAGAGTATATCAGACCTCAGGAGAAAAAGTGGTTGAGACTCTGGATGCTTTCAGACAGATAATGTAGACCTCTATAATAATAAAAAAAGTCTTGCTATTTTAGTTTATTTTTCTGTAGTAGATCTGTAGTTAAAGAGAAGAAAGGGAGATGAAGAGATAGAAAACAGAAAAGTTATAAGTGAACATCAAGGACATCAGAATATGAAATACACAAATAAGACAGAATGGGTTTGTATAACTCTGTAGACTAAAATGTAGCTGGCTAATTTATGGTTTAGTGTGTTGTGCAAAGTTGGTGGGATTGGCTTATGATTTAATAGAAGTCAGCCATTGCCCAGACGCTTCTTGTTAATTTGGTAGCTTTATCAAGAATTCTGCCTCTATTCCTAACTTTCACTAGTGACAATGTACTTGTGCTTGCCCTGCTCTGCCAACAAGAAGATAAACTGTACAGGGCTGGATAGAGTTTTGAATTATTGCTCTGGCAAATAAAATATTCATGAAGAAAGAGGCAATGAGAAAGGAGAAGGTCTTTGCAGTGTATCTAATGAAAGCAAAATTCTGTTCAGAATGCAACATCTACTATTATAATTGTCCACATTAAAATAACTTCATTAGGTTCCTTCTGTATCATAAGCACTTGTCCTACAGAATGATTGATTGCCTTTCTTCAGCCCTCATTAGGAGATATTCTGCTTTTTATTAATCTGACTTCCTTACAGATAGTCTGAAATTTTTGAATGCAGATACATAAGGAGCATAAACAAAAATGGCAATATCTCAAGTGTAGTATATTATCTTTTTTTTAAAAAAAAATAGTAAGCTGTGCCTAGTACTATAGTTATGGCTGGGTAAGAATATTTTTAGAGGTCACTGCCATCACTTTGTGCAAGATTGCCAAAGTGCGTCCCTTTAAAATACACTTGGTCAAAAGACTTGAATAAACCTGCCATTTTTAAGAAATACAAGTTTAATTTGTTAAATAAAACAGGACATAATTTTTATATTTTTCTTTTTTCTCAAAGAAGACTTTTCAAATCTCATGTAGACCTGTATGAGAAAATTGAAGGATTGGAACAGACAATAATTTTCATTTAAAGAAAACAACAAAGGTTTCTTCTAGATATAAATTGCTGTTTCAGAAGAGTAGGAGCATGGATTTAATACTGTGTTTTGCATGACAAGGAAAAGGCAGTCACTCTTTTGGGAAGGATTAAGAATGAGCCTTAGAAAGGAACTCAAGCACATATGTGATTTATTTAAGAGTTTGAGGTTTTAATTTTTGTTTGCTCCTTCTGTACCTGGGCATTACATTACCAATGCAGACATCTGGACAACCAAAAAGATGGAAAAAAAACTTGCAGTCATCTGTGGGGTTTTTTTGAAGCTCGAATATGGCAGACCACTACTTGCTTTTTTCTTTAATCACCAGAAAGATGGATACATTAATTATTATTAATTGCAGCACAGCCTGCTTTAAAATCAACTTCAAGTTTCAGTTCTCTATTATGGAGGCAGTCCTGGGGCAATCCAGATCACAAGAAACTTCAGCATTGCAACATGAGTTCTGAAGAATAGCCTTTATTAGCAGAATGGGTTTTAACTACCTGCGTGCCTCTACTTCTGCCTTTTAGATCTTTTCCAAAGCATGTCTAATCTTAGTAGCTATGTGAATTTGTGCTAAGAGACACCATCATGCTAAAACTGTCATATTTATTAAGTTTCCTTTACTAATGTTACTACCTCTGTTGCCTGACCAGAACCACACTGTGTTATAAAGCCTGAGTTTTAAACTGTATACATTTCAATACAGTTGTATTGAGCTTAGCAAAATATTAGAAGATATTGGCAAAAAAAAAAAAATCCTTTAGCTGAACAGTACAATTCATCATTCAAGGGGGTAGGGCATGTGAAAGGTATTCTAGCTTTCCTTCAGATTAGATTCCTAGACCCAGCCTAGACCCACCGTCTTAGCTTTACAATGATATTTTAAGTAAAGTTTGATAGCAGAGGGGAAATTAACATAAGTTTCCATAAGAAAGAATGTAATCTGTTGGATGCAGAGTACTAAGACCAAATTCCTAAGTCTTAAGACTAGAGAGTAAATGTGTGCATTACAATAAAGTGCAAATAGTTTTCCAGGAAAGTTGTTGAATTAGGTGCTCATTCTCCTTTATTGCTTTGTTACAAAATAAACCACCTTGTTTATCATGCATAACCTCGTACTAGATGAACAGTGACTACAAAAAGGTGACCGTATGATTCTAGACAGAGATCTGATTACTGTGAAATTGCTCCATATTAGTCTGGATTGTCTTTTATATAACATTTGTTTTTGCAACATTGAAGCCAGTGGAACTAAATCATAAATTGTGGCAAGTTTGATTTTGTAGCCTCATTACTACACTGATAAAGATAAGTTTCCATAATGCCATTAGATTTATGGGGAATCTGCACAAAAAGCATAAATTCCCTATCAGTGCTTGGTTGGATTCACTTTGGCAGCACCAATTAATTTGTCTTTGGAAACTAGGGAAATTTCTCTCTCATACACACAGAGGGAGGAAAGAGGTGGTTCTGAACCAAAGATAAGGTGACTGCTTCAACTAAACAGCTCAATAAAGCATATCCCTGTATTAGGAAACTAGTACAGATCTTCATCTGAAATACTGCCTCTTACTATTTTGGAGGGATAACCAAAGTTGCTCTTGTAAAAGTTTTCATAATAGTTTCATATTCATTTCTTCTTCCACTTAATATTCTGTATTCTTTACAACTTAAGTACAAGTAGCCTTCGTTTAACTACCACAATTGGGACTGGCAATTTGATTGTTAAACAAAGCTGTTGCTAAGTGAAACTGTACTTACAACCTTACTTCATCTTTTTCTTTGCTTTATAGACCCTGCAAGGATTGTTATTTTTTTTATAACTGCAAACAGTCACTAAACAAGGCAGTCATTAAATTGAGGACTACCTATAGAAGGTAATTGAAATAAATGCTGAATCAGTACACAGGTAACTCAATTTACAACTGTTTGGTGATCAAAGTTACAATGGGACTGAAAGAAGTGACTTACAACCAGTTCTTGCATTTATGACTTTCACAGCATGCCCATGGTCACATGATCACAATTCAGGCGCTGGGCAACTAGCATGTGTTTGGATGGTTGCAGTATTCTGGGGTCATGTGATCCACATTTGCAATCTTCCCAGCTGGCTTCCAATGAGCAATGGGGGAAGCAGGTTCATTAAACACCCATCTTGCTTAGAAATTATGGTCTTGACTGTGGTTGTACATTGAGGACTGCCTGTAGAGGTTGATACCCAAGTTTGAAATAATAAATTAGTATTTCTGCATAGTAAGGATCTTTAATTTATTAATCCCCTCTCTTGTGATACATATATTGTATGACAGTATGATGTGGCCACTATCAGCACAACACTAATTATGAGTTTTTGTTGCATGGGATAGTAATGTGTGAGAGAAAAATACTATCTATATTGAGCCATTAGGAAAAGCTATTGAAACGTCTATGTAGGTAAGCTTTTTATCTGCTTGCCTATTACTGAAATGACACCCAACCAAGAGACTGTGGTGTGGCTTAACCTTTATGCTGCAATTCAGTATGCATTGTCTTGAATGTAAACCAGACTGAGTAGAGATGCTCAGGATTGGATTTTTAGCAATCTACCCAGTGGTGGGATTCAAATATGTGAATAACCGGTTCTCTATGTGGAAGCTGCTTACGGAACTCCATTCTGGGCCTGGGCAACAAAAAATTATCTACCGGTTCTGCCAAAGTGGTGTGAACTGGCTGAATCCCACCACTGAATCTACCCTATTTGGTTTTGCTTGCAATCTGCTTGAAGCAGGAGACAGCGTCTAGGGAGGATCCTCCTCTACTTTTGCTGGCCCTTTTTATATATGTCTTGAGACTACAAACCTGGCCATTAGTAAGACCGGAAGAGGAACCATTCAGTCCAACAACTTCTTAGATTCGTATCCCACCTGTCCAGGGGCTCACGTGGTCATAAAGAGACCTCTATTTCTTTCCACAAGCAATCCTGGGTTGGCCAGGGCTGAAACAAAACGACAAGCCCAAAGTCAGGCAGTGCGTTTTCTGAGTCCCACTCCTTAAACCAAGTTGATCGTTTGAGTATGTACATGTCTGACAATGGGTAAGGTCCAGACACGGGGAAAAGAATAAATAAGCAGTAATGCAAAAAGCAATCATTTTTGCCGTTAGATATTCCAGCGGCTCGGGAGGGCTGGTTGCAAGAGAACTGAAAAGTATCTCTACGCAGATCATATTGAAAACGGTCAGGAGGAGAAGAGAATTATATATTGCAAACAATATACATATTGTTTCGATTCTCAACCTCGCCTGGCCCTTCCGGGAACGTTGTACCTCCCGGAAATTTACTGGCGGGAGTCCAAGAGAGATGCTGCTGCTGCTGCTGCTGCTGCTGCTGCTGCTGCCGCCTCACCATCTTCCGGGCTGTGGAATTCGACTAGGAGGTAGGAGGAGGAGTCGCCGCCAGCCAGATTTTCGTGGGAACGCACGTGCTTCTAAACTCTATGGAGGTGCCCGCAGAAGTGGCCCGTTCAAGGCGCACCATTTGTTCCGCCTTTTTACAGCTAGCCGCTGCACCAAAGAGCTGCAGCTGACCGCCACCTCTTGACCCTAAAGTATTGCGGACCTTCCCCTCCTGCAAAGGTAACGCCCCCCCCCCCCCACCGGCGCTCCGCTCGGCTGTGCCGGGTGGCCAGGCGGGTTTCGTTTCCGCTCAGGCGGGTGGTTGTTTCGCCCCCCCTTACCCGTCTGGCATACGACTTAGTTACGCTTTTGCCTCTAAAAGGACTTTTCTCAGTTAATTTCGAAGCTGTGACTGCTAGAAGCGGACCCGGAGCTGAGATGGCTGCAGCTGTATGTCTATGGAGATTCTCAGTCATCCAGGTCATAGTCATCCCAAAGGTGCTTTTTTCACAAGGCAGCCGGACTTCCTTGTTTTTCTTCGAAGACGTTTCGCTTCTAATCCAGGAAGCTTCTTCAGCTCTGATGAGAAGCGAAACGTCTTCAAAGAAAAACAAGGAAGTCCAGCTGCCTTGTGAAAAAGCACCTTTGGGATAAGTGCAGCTGTGTATAAATTATAATGGCATCTGCTTCAGGAATATTGACAATGTCAGGAATTGGGCAGTTGCGGTATCACATTGTCGAACCTCCCAAAAGATGCAACCGAGACAAAAGTCCAGCATTCGCTTTCAGTCCTAGGTTTTTTGGTGTTAGGAAAATGGGAAGAGGTTAGGAAATATTTTTTTCCCATTTAAATATTGCCTAATCTGCAAACCTCAGTGCTAAGAGAAATATAATGAATGTTTATTTATCACATTTAGGAACCGCCCATCTCCTTCATAGAGAAACTTGGGAGGGTACAAATAAAATGTTAAAAACATAAGAACTAAATAAAAAAAATAGTGGCAAAGATAAAGTTGAGATTAAAAGTTAATTAAAAAGCAGAGGAGGATCTCCTGGCAATAACCAGCCCCATAACTGCTTCTCTTATGGGGTCTGCAACATACCTTCCCTCCCTGAGTTGATATGTTGGTAGAAATTCTAGCCCACTGAATAACACCAAATAGCAAGTTGAAATTAGACAGAGATTTATTGGCTACAACGGTTTGCAAAGCATGGTGGACTCCAAATAAATATTTGAGCCACACCTAGTCACAACGAAAACACACATTATATACATTATATCCCGACGCCTTGGCCCCTCCTCTGAAGTTACAATCTTATCAGAGCCGCCTAAACAAAATACATTATCCCTGCCCGTTACTATTTTGCTTCACCTATTCCCTTATATGTACTTTATCATGAAATCCTATAGCTCAGTGTGGAAATCCTATAGCCTACGTGCAGAACTCTTCCAAGGTATGTGTACATGTAGAAATTGTGTAGAAATCTTGCAGTCTACGTGTAGAAATTTTAGAGTACGTGTCACTTAACTTTACTTTTTATTCTAAAATTTTATTCCTAACAGATAGGATGCACTGGTGTGATGGGGTGAAGACAGTTTTGTAGCTAGCCTGACCCGACGCCATGTAGGATTTTAAAGGTCATAACCAACACCTTGAATTGGACCCCAAAGCAGATTGGCACCCAATGCAGCTTGCATAGCAGGGGTGGTACACGTGTAGTTCTTTGGGTGCCCAAGATTGGTTATGTGGGCACATTTTGTACCTGCTGAAGTTTCTAGATACTTTTCAAGGACAGCCCCATGTATAGAGGGCATTGCAGTACTCCAGACAGGAGACCAGAGCATGCGTGACCAAATGGAGAGCCTCCCTACCCAGGCCTGTTAAAGATCTGTTAAGAAGCCTCTAACAGCAACTTTGATGTTACAATAGAGATGGGAAGAAAATAAATAGATATTTAGTGATAGGTTTTGGGTGTTTTGCTCTAGAGCAGTGGTTCTCAACCTGTGGGTCGGGACCCCATTTGGGGTCGAACGACCATTTCACGGGGGTCGCCAAACAACGCAGTCCGCCATTTTTTCCCCCTTTTCCTTAGCTGTGCTACTCCCTTTTATTCTATTGGCTTTTGAAAGCCAATAGAATAGACTCTCTTGAATAGAGTCTAATTCTATTGGCTTTCAAAAGCCAATAGGAATTGTCCAGGCTTTCTCTGCCCTGCTGAGCCCGCCAAAAGTCCTATTCCGCAAACGGTGCTGCACCAGTTGAGTAGTCCTCGACTTACGACCGGTTGAGTAGTCCTCAACTTACGACCAGTTGGGGGTCACGGCATTAAAAAGGTTGAGAACCACTGCTCTAGAGCAGGGGTAGGCAACCTTGGTTCTTTTATGACTCGTGGACTTCAACTCCCAGAATTCTTTAGCCATCATAGCTGGCTCAGGAATTCTGGGAGTTGAAGTCCACAAGTCATAAAAGAGCCAAGGTTGCCTACCCCTGCTCTAGACCATATAGATCAGATGTTTATTCACGTTAGCAACAATTCCCCACTCACCATTGGTTGATGAAAAGAAGAAAACATGATTAAGGAAGAAAAGTGAATATGTACAGTGCATGTAACATCCTTTTTATTTCCAACTGATACCAAAAAAGTTCCAAAACTTAATCCAATTGAGGTTTATATTTTAGAATGAGTGCAATTTTTCTCATATAACATTAATTGCCATTATCCGATAGGGTACATTCTTAACTTTTAAACACTGGCACGTGCAGTTGTAGAATCTAAGGACATTAATAGATTCAAGATTAGAAATTTCTAATTAATGAGAAATCAATTAACATTCTGCTGACTTTATCTTAAGTATGTTCATTTAGAATTAGTTTAGAGAATATAAAGTTAGAGAATAAATAAGCAGGTCATAGGATACCTAACTCATGAGGAGATGCTTCTATTATCTGTATATTATATCCCCCTGCCACATTCAGTTTCAGTTTGTGCTCATAACAAAATATTCACATATATGGGAATCTGGAGTACTTTAGAATTCCTTAAAAATAAAAAAGGAGTTCAACACTCATTAGAAATGTTCACACTCGTGTTTTTGCTAGAAAATACTGGCCCATCACACACCCTAAAGAAGCATCTGGAAAGACAAGAAAGAAAGCATATATTCCATGGAAATTTCCTCACAGTGTAAAACGATTGCTAAATTGCTGGCTGCTTTTATTTTTTTAGTTCTCCAAAGAATTCCTCAGGTCATAAAGCTTTCAATAATGTCTAAAATGGGATATGTTTCATTGTAGTTTTAGTGTTATGCCCACTTAGGTGGCTGTAAATCCTTTCTAAAATTCTTTCAGATTATTCAGGTTATCTTGCTTACTAATTTGCATTGAAGAACTGTATATATTTTCATCCACTGCATGACAGAATCTTAAATATTATAAGATTATAAAAGGCTCATTATGTAAAAGTACTTTTGAAGGTAAGGTTGAACTTGGAGACAGATTCACATGTTCATCTTATCTCCATCATTAGAAAAATCTGCACTGTGGCTGACTCAACAGCAACATAGTACAAAAGAGATATTTTGAAACTCAGTTCCCAGATAAAACTTTCACATTCTTCTATGAAGAATAATGAGAAGTGGTTTTTTTCTTTTTTTCCCTCAAAACAGAACAGGATGTATATTGAATTAACCTCCTGCTTTTACAGGTAGTCCTCGAATTACGACCACACGTAAGCCCAAAACTTCTGTTCCTAAGCAAGGCAGTTGTTAAATGAGTTTTATCCCTTTTTATGACCTTTCTTGCCGCAGTTGTTAAGGGAATCCCTGCAATTGTTAAGTTTGTAACACGGTTATTAAGTGAATCTGGCTTCTCTATTTGCTTGTCAGAAGGTTGTCAAAAGGTGATCATATGAACCTGGGACACTGCAAGCATCATACGTGTCAGTTGCCAAGCATCCAGATTTTAATCACATGACCACAGGCATGCTGCAGCGGTCATACGTTTTTCAGTTGTAACTTTGAACGATCATTTAACTCAGTGGTTCTCAACCTGTGGGTCGGGACCCCATTTGGGGTCGAACGACCATTTCACGGGGGTCGCCAAACAAGGCTGTCCGCCATTTTTCCCCCCTTTTCTTTGGCCACAGCCCTGGCACCCGGTGATGTATAAGTGGTTGGGGGTCACCACAATATGGGGAACTGTATTATGGGGTCGCGGCATTAGAAAGGTTGAGAACCACTGCATTAAACGAATGATCGTAAGTCGAGGACCATCTGTACCATGTTTCCTCACAAAATAAATAGATGGTATAGATAGCCATGCTGGCTCAGGAATCCTTGGAATTGAAGTCCATGAGTCATAAAAGAGCCAAGGTTGCCTACCGCTGGTATAGAACGACATATATTTTGCTATGACATGCCGACTCATTGTTGCTTGGCTTGATGCTCAAATAGATGCAGTAGCTGAGTACAGGTAGTCCTCAACTTACGACCATTTGCTTAGTGACCAAAGTTACAATGGCATTGCAAAAAGTGACTTACAACCAGTTCTGGCATTTATGACTATTGTGGTATCTCCACAGTCACATAATCAAAATTTGGACACTTTGCAATCGGCATGTGTTTACGGCGGCTGCAGCATCCCAGGGTTCATGTGATTGCCCCCTGACCTCCCAGCTGGCTTCCAACAAGCAAAGTCAATGGGGTAAGCCAGATTTGCTTAACAACAACTACATGCTTCACGTAATTGCAAGGATTTATTTAAAACTGTGGCAAAAAAAGGCCGTATAATTGAGTAGGATTCACTTAACTGCTTTACTTAGCAACCAAAATTCTGGTGGTGTTTGTGGTTGTAAGCAGAGGGCCAATAGGCAAGGGGAAAAGGCCCACAATAACTACTGCCAGTTACCAACTACTTCATGCTACCATGAGAAAGAAAGTGTACATAATTATAGTGTGGAAGTAGGTAAGACTATTAATATTCTATTGTTGATAAATGTGATCACGTGGCATCAAAGAGCCCAAGAACCTTATTTGAAGTTCTATGCATGCTAAATGCTTTGTTCACTGATAGACATTGTTCCAAAAACTAATGTGGATTTTTCCATATGACCCACTCACCATGGATCAGTGATGCCTTAGCAACCATCATTCATAGAGCATGAATGAGCGATGACACTTTCAACTGCACCCCCTCCCATTCCTCCCCTGGCATGTTTTAATCTTTCTTCTAAAATGTTTTGTTGCCGCTTTTGCTCCATATCAAAAAAACAAATTCAACAGTAGTATAAAGAACTTCACTGCTTTATACTCATGTAAGATTATGCCTTGAGAATTTACTGAGTAAGACAAAGTCCACCTTTATTTCTCAGATTTTGTGGAAGATCTTGACAAATTATTTTTCTCAGTCTGTTACTTCATCTCTTTTACATAAGAAGGAAAATAATTGGAATACAATTGGAATTATCGATTTAAAGGGCCAGTGGACCAAAGAAATAGGTTTGCAATGCATGTACAAAAACTCTGATACACATCACACAAATCAGGCATAGCAAATGTTCACAGGCTATCTGAATCTCTGTTCGGGCATTAGCTCCTAAGTATTTGGAAGAGAGGAGGTAGAAACCTTTCCTGCTGGAGAGAACACGTGGTCAAGGCAAAATCTACTGGCTGGGAAGGAACCGTTACAGTTCACTCTTTAAACCTTAACAGTCACTGACTTCTAGAAAAGTCTAACCCTGCCGAGGCTGAGCATCAGTGTTCCAACTGTAGCAGTCTGTGGATTGCTCTTCCGTCAAACCTAGGTGGGTCCCTGTTTCCCCCCAAAGGTTTCCTCTTCACAGTGACATCTCCCTTGTTCCACAGACTGGATCCTCTGCATTATGTTGAAAATTTTACATTGTTATCTATGGTTCCCATCAGAGCAATATCTTTACTGTTTCCAAATATGAACAAACAAAACAATACAAGGAAGAAAATTGATCACCGGTGCAACATAGTAAATTTGCTTTACTGTGGGGAAGTCGGTATTTTTCAAAAATTATACTTTCCTGAGAGAGCAAAATTTAAGTAAACTTTAAAAATTAAACACTATTATACATATCTTTGCCAAATCAAACTTTACTTTTATCTCAAGGCTTATTAGGAACTTTAATTCAGTCACAGAATAAGCATCAGTATTACAGGTAGTCCTCAATGTACGACTACAGTTGAGCCCAAAATTTCTGTTGCTAAGTGAGACTTTTTAAAGTGTGTTTTGGCCCTTTTTATGATCTTTCTTGCCACAGGTGAATCCCTGCAGTTGTCAAGTTATTAACATGGTTGTTATATGAATCTGGCTTCCCCATTGGCTTTGCTTGCCAGAAGGTGATCACATGACCCTGGGACATTGTAACTGTCATATGAACCAGTTGTCAAGCATTTGAACTTTGATCACATGACTGCTGCAATGGTTGTGTGAAAAACCGTCATAAGTCACTTTTTTTCAGTTCTGTTATAACTTCAAAAGGTCACTAAACGAACTGTTGTAAATCAAAGACTATTTGTACTTCAGTTTGCCATCCACTTTTCTCCATAAGCTTGTTGTCTTCTTATCTTCCAGTACCATGTTCATATTGACTTAGCTGTGGGTGTGTGATTTGCGAAATACTGGAGTGCCTCACCTTTTGGATGCTCTACAGTAGCCCAAAACCACATATGTATCACAGTTTAATTTCATGTGTATTATAATCCACTTTGCGAATCCTGCTAGAGTTAATTATGATTGTAATTAGTTTGAGTTGTTATTGTTGTTTGGTCACAGAGTCTACCAGATGGTTAAACATGTTTTATGTTTAATTTTGGCATGAGATGTTTTGGCGTTTTTATCCACCTATTTTGAGTACTTCCCAATAACTAGAACCTAGAGTAGGCAGGGGTTTTCCCTTGATGGTTTTAAAAGTTATCATCAGGATGTAAGCTGTTCCAAGTAAAGCTGCCTTTTGTAATTGATTGATGGTGATTTTGTCAATGCTGATTGTATTCAAGTGGCAGATGTTTTGGGATTGTACCTAAAGCACCTATTACTCTTGGTACTATCTGTGTTTCTTTTGCCAGTTATTCTACATCTGTTTTCAGGTCTTTGCATTTTATGATTTTCTCTACTTCTTTCACTTTTATTCTGCTGTTTCCAGATACTGCAATGTCCACTCTACAGACTTTTTTTGTCTTTCTTACTGAAAGTTAAGTCTTGGGTGTTATATGACAGATGCTTGTCTATTTGAATTCTGAAGTCCGAGAGCATTTAGCTTCTTCCTTTTCTATTACTTTGGTCCCACCAGTTCTTGCTTACAGGTGAATGGTATTTCTTGTAGTTATTGTAATGCACTATTGTTGCTACTGTACTTTGCCATGCTGTTTTATAATCAGTCTGTGTAATCTTCTTGTAGCAGCTAACTAGCTGATCCATTGTTTCTTCATCTTCTTGCTGTCTATTGCTGTTTCTCAATTCTGGTTTTGTATTCATGTGTTCTTAAGGCTTGGCCTATTGCAGGCACAATTAGCTCCTCTGTCACCTTCTTCAACCTTCCTGCTCTTAGCTATTGCCAGTTCTTGTTGTTATCTGCCTTGCCTATTTTTTTTTTTAATATATTGGTCATGTAATATTTTGCCTTGGCATGTCTTTTTTTCTAGTTTTCATTTGGTTGGTCTTTCTTGTAGGTCAGTTTGATCTCTCCAGTACCCAGTAAGCCTTCATGGTATATTAGCTATAATGCATCTTCTTCACTGTCCTTCAGATATTCTTCCAATGCCCTTTTTTCTTCTTCAGTTGGCTGGTGTACACATTTTTTTCCTTTTTATGACCCTGTAATCTCTTGATTTGGGGCAGAGTCAGGGCAATTGAATGGAGCTGAGTGTTTACTGGCTGGATGCCATTCCTGACACCTATGCGGAGTTCACAGCAGATATTTTCTCTTTGTGCCATGATAGAGAAACATCTGTCACTACCTAGGATTAATCTCTCAATCTTCCAAGGGGGAGGTGAGAATCTTCACCTCTAGACCATCACGCTGCTCATCTGGTGTACACATATATTTTGAAAAATTTGCATAATAACTTACTAAGTGATGATAACATCACTTACTTTAAAACATTTTATCCATGCACTCTTTAAGGAATTTGCTGTGTCAGGACTCTCCCAATTTTTTTCACACATTGTGAGACTATATTGAATTACAGGTGTCAATAGTCATTCAGTGAACCTCAAACTCATGATCATAATACTAATCAATATACTTCAGTAATAAAAGTGGCATGGGAGGGTAAAGCTGTCGTTTTGAGATTTCCATTTTTATTTGGTAGCATTCTGGAGATACTTAAGCTATCTAGATGTTTAGCTCCCTATCTTTTTCTTGGCAGATTGCCTGAAGCAGGTCATGGAAGATGGCCAGTAAGCAAGGGTACAGTTGTCTCACAGATGGCTCTCTGGATATTCCAATATCTAGCCCTGAAGGCACCCCAAGTCTCAGTCCTCATAGTCCAGGACTATGTCTTATATCTCCTCCAATTGCAGAATCTCACTGGCTGAGCAATGCTCAACCACAGACTGAGGCTCCATCAGAAATGAACATCACTTTAGAAAAGTTGCTTGCTCCAATAACTGAAAAATTGAAATATTTGCTGAAGAAAGCGGAGGACTTCCAGACTTACCTCCTGTACAGGTGGGTTAAGATATAGAAATATTAGCAACCTTTTGACAGTACAATGCTGAAACTTGATTTTAATTAAATTAATTATGTAATTATATGGAAGTTTTTAAGAAGAAACTGGACAGCCATTTGTCCAAAATGGTATAGGGTTTCCTGCCTGAGCAGGGGGTTGGACTAGATGACCTCCAAGGTCCCTTCCAACTTTATTATTATTATTATTATTATTATTATTATTATTATTATTATTAATATAGCCAAGAATAATATAGTATCTAAGAAAGCAGTGCCCAGCACATGTCAGCACCAGCCAACCTTAGTTGATTTCATAAATCTTAATGGGATTGGACCTGTATAATACCTAGATAGAAGCCACCAGGAAATTCCATAGTTCTAGAATTCTACAAACTGGGAAGTTAAAATCGACATGAATGCAAAAGTACTTTCACTTTATTACCAAAGCAAACTGTATGAACATGACCATTAGGAGTTGAGCTCAATTTCAACGAGTCTTGCAGGTATATATAAGAGGAAAATTAAATAAATAAATGATCAAAACTTTCTGACACCCAAATGTTAAACAACAAAAGTTAAATGGCTTTTTATTCCTCCATCAAAAATAAAAGATCAATAGAACCGTTTTGAGATGGGAAGGATTTCAATTCAGACTTCTGGGTCTGAATCTTTCTATTGTAAAAGCAGGGCTTTTTTTGCCATAGAATGCTCAGAACGGAGTTCCGGCACCTTTTTTGGATGGAACCTTGTAGGGTAGGCAAGGCGGGTTGTATAACGTGTGTGAGTTCCGGCACTTTTTTTTTTTTTAAATCAAAAAAGCACTGTGTAAAAGTGTGCATTTTGTTTCAAGTTTCGGTTGGTTGATCTTGGAATTCAGTTAAAAAATAAAATAGATCTCACAAAGTGAAATCTGGCTATGAAATGCTAAGGTTTCTGTGGGCCTCTCACAATCAATAATAAGCAACCCAATAGAAAATCTGACAGATGCAAAAGCAAAATACAAATGGAAATGAGCCAGTCTATGTCAAAGAGGGAGCCAAATGTTTGATATGTAGGACAGTGTTATAGGTGCTTTTGAATGATTATTAGTTTGATTTTTGCTCAGTTTCCTTCTATATCTTTGTCTTATTTACTGTAGGTCTTATTTCTTGGCCAATGTCTCATATTTTACTCTAACTACTTCTATATTACTATTGACATGTCTATTTTCCTCATTAAATTGCTTCTATTCCAGTGTTCTTAGTTCTACAGCTACACTTCTATTACTCTGCACTTCTGTACAATATCTATCTTCTATTTTTATATCTCCATATTGCTACACAATTATACCTTCCTATGAATATACTGTAGTTCATATTTCTCTATTGCACTGCAATATTTTGGTTGCTCTTTTCAAGACAGCTGCTGCTGTATTGGCAATTGTGCTATCCTCATGATGGGAAAGGGATCCAGAAGGAGTGGAAGGAAGGAGCACAAATGCTTTAAATCTGTCCAGCAGCTCTTCCTCTTGCAAACAAGAAGGAGAAATGCAATAAGTCCTGAATGCTTTTTCTCTGTATAGGGCTTTTTTTTTTTTAAACAGCAATTGCTGAGATTGTTTGAACATGGCTTGTTAACTTTAGTAAATATGATTGATCAGAAGAGCTTGTTCAGTATGCATTTCTTTTCTCCATGATGTTTCTTTCGTCTAATCCCCAGTTTATGACTAATATAAGGATAAGTCCTCCTTTGCTGGACTAGAGTTAAAATATTTTTGCACTTACTCCATCAAAAAGTAGCCTCAAGATGCTTAAACTTCTGTCACCCATTAACTTGGAGATCAGGTCACAAGCAGCAACAGTGAACCCAGGCAATAAAGGCAAGATACAGATTGAAAATGGAGGCAGCAAATTTCTTGCTGGTGTTCATAGGGGTAGGTAAAAAAAAATCAAGATGGTGATTGCAACCATATAATTCTAAGCCCTGCCTCTTTCTAATCTAATGTATGTGTCTCATATATTTTATAAAGGGCAAGCTGAACTTTAGTAACACTATTGTGACTGCTAATATAACTGTTTTGATACTCCCCACTCCCCCCCAACATGATTGCTGATGTAGTTTATTACCAAATCAAGGACATTAAAAAGTACTTTAGCTCAGGGCTTTTCAACCTTTTCACCCATTATACCACTTTTAGGATATGGCAATATCCGAGTTCCACCAGTTGCCTAGCAAGGTGTCAAAAACTTGATGACCAAAAAAAAAAAAAAAAGGAAAAAAGTGATAAAGTACAGGTAGTCCTCGACTTACAACAGTTCGCTTAGTGACTGTTAGAAGTTACAATGGCATTGAAAAAAGTGCCGCCCAAGCCACAGCCGAGCAAGACACCTGCCTGCCCACCCGGCGGCGCTCTTCCTCCTGTCCGAGGTTTTCATTGTTGTGAGCATTTCTGTTGAGGATTGGTAGTGGGGGTGGGGTGGGGGAGTGTTTGGTTTTCATTCCCCCCATCTGCTGGGTGGTTGTAGCAGGTTTTGGTCACTTCACGTGACCCTGGGACACTGTGACTGTCATAAATATGAATCAGTTGCCAAGCATCTGAATGTAAATCACAAGACCCTGGAGATGCTGCAACATTCCAGCTGATCGGCGCTTCTTCTGGGCTCAGCAGAAGCACCAGGATCAGTGCTGCTTTCCAGCTGATTGGTGTTTCTTCAGGACTCAGAAGAGCCAGGATCAGCGCCGAGCTAAGGCTGGAGCCTGGTGCTGATCCTGGCGCTTCTGCTCAGCACTGACAGCCCTGAAGAAGCACTGATCCTGGTGCTTCCGCTCAGCCCTGACAACCCTGTAGCTCCAGCCATCTCTTGCTCAGGCTTTTGCGGTGCTACCACTGGTTCAGCTCATTCCCCTCCCCCGCTACTTTTCTAGGATGGTCGTGTACCACCTGCCAGGTGCCAATGTACCACAGGTGGTACCCGTGCCACTGGTTGAAAAGCCCTAATTTAGCTCAACAGAGGGAAAAGGCCTGTGTCTTCAAAATTAAGAAAAAAAAGCATCTGTATCTAACTTATGCTTGCTGTAGGTTAATCTGGTTGAAACTCAGATCTAATCTTGCTTTTTGTTTGGGCATCTGTCATGATTTGATAATAAAGAAGGGAACCCTTAAAAATGCAATGTCACTCATTACTTTTTTTCTTTGTCCCCAGAGTTTTCTCTTATTTTTAGACCCCTTCCTCAGATTAGGATAAATCATGAATTGAACATGCTAAACTCTGTTCTTCTAAATATCTTAAATAGTGTTATAATTATGGTTTGTTTCAAAAAGCACTATCAAATCAGGCTGGGAGGGCACTGAACAAGATAAGGCAGGAATTAAGATATGAAAGAGAATTTCTGTCTTGTTTTTCCCATTAGGATGGTCTGTAAGGCACTGCATTCCTAATACCTTGCTGATTCCAGTAGCTATCCTGGTGCCCAAAGGCAGCAATATCCATATATTTTTCTACCGAGCTCTTTGCCATACCTCAATTAAAAAGAGGAAGCTTTCACATTTTGAACCCAGCCTGGAGTTGTTGATATGATATTCCTCAACTGCAGCCTATATATGCCCCAAGTGTAGCATGTGTGTATGTGTGTGCACGCAGTAGCACTAGCAGGTATGTCACAGAATAGTGCTGAGCAGGGAGCAAAGGCAGTGGCTCTCCTTGACGTAGTGCTCTCCTATTTTCAGCAGAGACAGAATGCAGAAGGAACAGTTTGCCAAAGCCATGCCCACCTTTTTGCAGATGTGCCAGCCATATTTCCACTATTTGGAATCTACAGCACGCAGCTGCACACCTTATTTAAGACCTCCACAGGAACCAGTCCGGAAAAGAGTGAGTGTTCCCACTGAAGCCCTTGATCCTATTCCATCCAGTTAGGTTGGGGGGGGGGAAGCAGAGACACTCTGCATCTTTGTGAAACTAACCTGAGAAAGAGGGGAAGAGAAATAGGTTCCAGAACAGAAAAACTCTTCAAAATTCTTACTTCTTTAGTTTGTGGAAGGTAATTGAGATTCATTCCAGAAGTTTCAGTTATACTGTGGCTTATAATCAAATGCTTCTTGTGTGCAGCACCAAAATTACAATGTAATTTCAACTCTACCCATCAAAGTATTTATCATTTTTATCATTGTTCCACATTTGTCTTTCACAAATATAAAACAGACACAAGCTCTACCTTAGAGAAACTGTATAAATGTATTAGAAGGGAACATTTCAGGATAAATTGGATAAAACAAAGAAAGTGACACTAAACTGAGCAGATGGATGTAACAGGATCATTGATAAAGCTAATGTGTCACTTTTTCCCAATTTCCACTTCCAATTTTTCCAAAGTTGTTTGATGGACACCTGCAATTATGTTCACATCTTCCAACCTCCAAGTGCTAAAAATGAGCAGCGATTACTATGACCATTTAGTGCTTTTTTTCAGCAAATCAATAGGGGAGTATAATATACACTGTTCAATCAATGTCCCATCCCTTACATGGCTATGGGTCTTGGACTAAAAAGAATGCTGTCCTACCCACTACAGCAGAAAAAGCAAATAATTTGCTACCATCTCTCCCCAAATCCATGTTACTATGAGGGAAAGCACTATTAGGGTAGGTGATTTGTAAATATCCACACACCCCCCAAGTAATTCTTTTTTTACATGTAACAAAAGCCTCCAAAGGGGGAACGATAGCATATTAATATGGGGAATACAAGAAGGAGTAAATCTCAAGTTCCCACTGACTGTTCAGGGCTGCAGGTTTTCCTTGGTTTTCTAAACAAAAACAAAAACAAACCTATATTGGAGCAGGTGTAGGGGAAGACTTCTCTCTCAAAACCAGACTATACTGTTCAATGGTACAAATTTGGTTCTGAATCAGCACAAACACTGTGTGAACATGCCCTAGGTTAGATGGAGAAGTTTATACATGCCTTTTAGTATGGGATGGTTAGATTCCCAGATCCATAAAAGGCAGATATACTCAGATGACCACAGATGACCATTCACACAAAATGCACTGGTTGTTGCCCCTTAGTTATTATTTAGCATACAGCCCATTATTTAAGTGTCCTTCTTCATCATTTTCTTGCTGCAGGAAGTCTACAATTTCCTCAGAAACCTGCTGTATTTCTCACATCAGTCTAATAACTCAGGATTTTGCAGTTGTTCTTAAAGGTGATCTTTCTGTCTTTTTCTAGAGGAGTATTTTCTTACCATTTCTCCATTCCTCTCATTGTTGCTTTTCGCCAACACCCCAGCAAGCCTTCCACATATTGTTTCTGTCCAGCAGGGAATCTAAAGTATGGGGACACTCGCAAAAGGTGCTTCCTTATTCACAGAACTGCTTGACAATGCCTATCTAGGTTCCCAAAGGATGGTTCACAGTCCATGCTCTCACACTTCCCTGCTTCTTCCCTTTCAGAGGACAACTTTGACATGCCTGGCCAAGTTCTTGAGCAGCAAAAGATGAGAAGTAGTCAGATCCTTTGTGTGTGTGTGTGTGTGTGTGTGTGTGTGTGTGTGTGTGTGTGTGTGTAGGGGGGAAATAAACCACTATAAAGGATTATCTCCCTTTTTGGAAGGGAGGTGAAAGAGGAGTATGAATTCACAAACCCAGAACCCTGGCATATTCAGATAAGTAAGTTTCCTGACATCTTTTTGACAGGAAATGCTCCAGGTTTCTCCACCTACGGCTAGGCCCAGAATTTAGCAACATTCCTGTAGGATGGCAAGAATAGACATTTCTATACTAATCCAATGACATTTGTTCCTCTATAAGCAATGTTTCAGCAATATGTGTTGCTTGCCTGTGGAAACCCTCACAGTCCTTCAGTGTAGGATGCTGCTAAAATAGGCTTTTATTCACAGACTTTTTCTGGGTTTTTGGACCATGACATCCTCCATTTGTAATCGGCCTCCTTTCTCCCACCACTTTTCTTTCACCACAAAATTAATGGTTGGGAAGATAAGACAGAATAACTGCACACTGTCTTTTTTTGGAAATACTGAAAGCTGCCCACTCTCACAATGCCCAGATCTTGCTGCCTAATTCAGGGTAAGCAATGGAAGCTGTATGGCAGAACAGAAAAAGGAGGCAACACATTTGTTCCTCACTTTTTTTCCTTTTTTTTTTTTTTGTTGATAGTGAACTGATTGTTGATTGAAAGCTGTGCTTTCTTCTCCTGCTGAGAAGGAAGGAGGCAGAAATACCCCAACCTTAGTTTTTCTCTTAGATTTCAGATATGAGGAATTTGGCTGTAATACCGTCCCCCCCACCACCCCGCCATGAAGCCTCAAACCAAGTTTTAGCTAATGGAAAAACAAAACTTGAGTTAGCAGGGTAAATATTGGGGATTAGCCTGGTCTCAAGGACCTGCCTAACATTATTTAAGATCTTGTTCTTTAGTCTCCAATCTCAAAACATTTGTTCTTCGATTTACCACAGCTTCTGGAAATTTCTCAGCAATTGGCTTGCCAGCTTGAGCAACTGGTGCTGATGTATGCTTCTTTCAGCTTTGTTTCTCTTGAAGACACAGACCCATTCAGGTACAAAGCATCCATTAGGGAAAGGTTAGCTCTATGTACGTAGTGCGATTTATTTATTTATTTAAATTTGTATAATCTGTCCATCTCAATTATATGACCCTGGGCAGCTTACAAGTCAAAACAGCAACAACAAGCATTCAAATAAATAAAAATTAAAACAAATAAAAATTGTGAAAACAAATTAGCCAATGTAAGATAATGCAAGGTTAGATAAAAATGTTTCAGAAGTGATCTTTGCTAATCATTCAAATGTGTAGAATTGGAGAAAATAGTCTTCCAAATAAAACCAAGATTTGGAACGTGCCACAAAGTACACATTTATAGTGTATTTGTGCTCTCTGAAGTACTCTTAGACAGAAAATTGAACAGCTTTTTAAAGTTTGCCTAAATATTCTTTTTGAAAATGTCTAAATCTAGGATGATCCTGTCCCATTTTCAGGAATACTGAAAAGAAGCCTAAGGTTCCATTATGTTTTGATAACCTAGGTTCACATTCATAATTTTTCTTCAAAAGTTACTGGTTTATTTATTATTGTATGAGCAAGAGGAATTGGTTCTTGGTTTCGAACCTGCCTATTGTCTCAACTTTCTTCTTCTGTACACACACAAACATATCTGTCACTCTGTATTTGTCTCAAAATCTTCACCAGCATATCGTGTTTCTTCTGTGGGAAATTTTGGATGAATGAGACTCGGCAAGTTTCTATCTTTCGATACTGTATCTCAGCACCATACACAGCTGCTCATATTCCTCACAATCTTTATAAGAAGATGCGCTGGAACCTGGACATCTTGGAAGGTTCTGCTGCTCGGAATCAAACACTCCGGACAGAATAGTGAGTTGCTGTATATACTGAGGTTATTTATTTTATTTGTATTTATTTATTAAATTTATATCCTACCCATCCCACTGATAGGGCCACTTTGGGTGGTTTACAAACAGTAAAAGGACAAATATACAAACAGTTAAAGTTTTAAAAAGCTACATCAAAAACTAGAACCAAGAAGATGGACAGCAAGGGGATATGATCTTCATCTTACCCCATTAACTATCTCCAGTGGTGAGCAACTGGAAAAACCAAAAACCAAAAAAGAGTTTTGGTACTCTTCTGGAAGGCTTAAAGGGTGGGAGCAGTTCTTGCCTCCAGTGGTAGAATGTGTGTGTGTGGGGGGGTATCACAGTAGAAAAGGCTCTTCATCTTGAGCCTACCAGCTGGGATTCTTTAGCAGGTGGTGTCTGTGATAGGCTCCTTCCACTGAAGTGAATAAGGTAGGCAAGTCCCATTGGGGATACCCTAGACCAGTGGTAGGCAACCCAAAACACTCAAAGAGCCACTTGAACCCGTTTCCCACCAAAAACAAAACACCGGGAGCCGCAAAACCCTTTTGATATCTAAAATGAAGATAACACTGCATATATCCTTTTTTATCTTTATTATAGGTGTGTGTGTGTGTGTGTGTGTGTGTGTGTGAGAGAGAGAGAGAGAGAGAGAGAGAGAGAGTTTGTGTATGTGTGTGTGTATATATATATATATACACACACACACACATTAAAAATAAAAGTAAAAATATGACTCTTGGGAATATCCATACTATTAAAACAATGATCACCGAGAGAATGCTTTAAGAGAATAAAATTACATACACACACAGGTAAAAAAAGGATATATGCAGTGTTATCTTCATTTTAGATGTCAAAAGGGTCTCTCTCTGTGTCTCTCTCCCTCCCTCCCTCTCTGCCCTTGGTCTGCCACTCCTCTTCCCCCACTCTCTTTCTTTCTCTCTCTTTCCTCTCTCTCTCCCCCTCCCCCCCCTCTCTCTTTCTCCCCCCCCTCCTATCTGCTGCTCACCTGGCAAGCTTCAAGCTGTTGTCCAACAAGCAACCTCGTCTCTTTTATGACTCATGGACTTCAACTCCCAGAACCCCTGAGTCAGCCTAGCTGGGCTAACTAGCTCTCTCTGCCCTTCCTGCTTCCTGCTGAGATGCAGCAAAGGGAGGAGCTCCGCCCAGAAAGCTTTTCAGCTCCTCGGAGAACAATGTGAGTGCACTCTCTTTTACACATACACACACACACACACACACACACACAACACACACAGAGAGAGAGAGAGAGAGAGAGAGAGAGAGAAGCAGGGAAGCGCAATTGCCTCTCTCTGTCTCTGTCTCTCTCTGCAAAGGGAGAGGAGGCTGGGAGCCACAGGGGAAGGCTCAAAGAGCCACATGCGGCTCCGGAGCCGCAGGTTGCCGACCTGTGCCCTAGACCCATGCATAAAGGGCTTTAAAGGTAAAAACCAAGACCTTGAATTGGACCCAGAAACAAACTGCAGCTCATGCAACAGTGGTATTGTATGTGCCACCCTAGGGCCCCCAGAACTATCTGTTGCTGCATTCCAGACTTGCTATAGCTTCCAAACAGTCTTTAAGCATAGCCTCATGTAAAATGCATGACAGCAATCCAACCGAGAGATAGCCAGGACATGAGTGACTTCCACAGGGCCTCATAATCCAGATAAAGGCGTGACTGATCCACAACATGAAGTTGTGCAAAGGTCCTTCTAGCCACGACTTCCATGTGCTCTTTGAGCAGGAGTCATGAGTCTAGGACAGTGGTGGCGAACCTATGGCACGCGTGCCACAGGTGGCATGCAGAGCCCTCTCTGTGGGCACGCATGCCATCGCCCCAGTCCTAGGCCTTTAGCTGGGTTTTATAAAAGCTTTTTGCTTTAGGCCTCTGCTGCCATGTGCAAAAAAAAAAAAAAAAGTTCAATCAATCAATCAATTTCAACTTCTCCATGAAAAAAAAGATCTCGCAAAGTTGGAATTGATTGGTTGAACTTTTTAGTCCCACCAAGTCTGCCATTACCATCGAAGCCATGCCCACCCAATGGGCCATACCCACCCAATGGGCCACACCCACCCGGCATCCGACAATACATAAGTGGGTTTTGGATTGTAGTTTGGGCACTCGGTCTCTAAAAAGGTTTGCCATCACTGGTCTAGGAGAATCCCCAGGTTACACACCAGGTCTATCTGGGAGAGTGCAATCCCATCCAGAACTAAAGATGATAACCAGATCCCAAAGCCCCTTGACCCACAGCACTCCATTTCACCAGAGTTCAGTTGCAGCCTGTCCCCCATTTAGACTCCCACAACCTCCATGCACTGCAAAAGGGCAGCCACAGCATCACTTGAATCATCAGAGATGGAGATGCAGAGCTGATTATCATCTGCATACTGATATCCCATCATACAATGTTGGATAATCTCATCCAGCAGTGAGATATATGGGGAGAGTAGATATGACCTGGCTAGGCAGATCATTTAACAACATTTATCCCTTTCCATACCTCTGATGATGAAAGAATGGTGTCATTCCAAAGCTACACCATATTATAGCAATGTAATTCTTTCTTTGGTCTTAACTAATGTTTATTTCTTGAGTTTCCCAGAGGCTATTTGATCAGCCAACCATTTCACTGCTTCCATGCAATCTTGTCCTTGTGTTATAGCTACTTCCTATGCTTCCGTGATACAGGAGATGAAACAACTGTGAAAATGCAGAAGCTTTGGTCCATAGGACGCTGGGTGCCTTTAGATCCTGACAGTGAACACAGTTCTGATGTGCTATCCTGGTAGGTGTGCAGAACTAGAGATAGGACATTGGCATAACACTTACACAGACTGATTTAATGTAATGGTGTAATGGTTAAGGCATCAGGCTGGAAACTGGGGCACTGTGAATTCTAGTCTCACTTTGAGCAACTGGATGATCTGGGTCAGTCACTTTCTCTAGCCCAAGGAAGGAAGCAATGGCAAACTATTTCTGGAAAACCTTGCTAAGAAAACTGCAGGAACATGTCCAGGCAGTTTCCAAAAATCTGATTAAATAGAAGAAAAAATGCAAATAGATTCTCAGCTGAAACTGTGGTTGAATTTGTTTGTGTGTTGTGAGATTGAGTTGTCATGCCTTCTGACTGCTAATTGATGTTCATGGATGTGCTCTGCTGATCTTCTGCCAGTATGTCCTACATAGTGGCTGTTACAGTCCTTACATTGTATGTTGTAGATGAGTCCTGTTTTTTCTTCTTAGATTACTGGGTGTCTTGGTTTACTTAAGATTTTTCAAAGGACTTTAATTGATTTGTGTGCTATTGTGATGTGAAGTGACTGTAGTATTCTGTTGGTTGTCTCCAAGATGTTTTTGATATACAGGAGTGTTATCCTTTTCATAGGTTGTGCTGCAACAGGTTGTCTGGTCAGGGGCTTTGGGAAAAAAATTGCCTGAGTCTTCAGTCTGTTAGAAGATTTTGTCCAGGTGATCTGCTTCCTCTTACTGGCATACTGAGTAGCTGCAGTGTACTTATCTAAATAATATTCTTATACTTATCTAAATAATATTCTTATACAACTTCTCTTGAGGGAATTGCTTTGGGGTGTTGCTTTGGTAGAGTAGTTGGTAGTATTGGTAGTGTTTCAAAAGACTGCCCTAGCATAGTCAGTTGAAGTGATAGGTTATTTTATTAAAGTTAAACGGTTGTAGCGAAAGTAAAGCTAGATCTGAATATTCCTGTGCAAATGTGACTCTTTCTCCCCTTTTCCCAGCCCTCCCATCCTTGACTATCAGTGTCCAAAAAGATGCCTTTATGATGTTTTATTAATGGCTCTGAGCTTGAATCTCTCAATGCAGTTTCACATTCAGTTCCCAGGCCAGGTGTCCTTGGAGGCTGATTTATTCCAGTTTGACACCTCTGGTTCTTGTCAACATGCCTCTCCTCCCATTGTTTGTCTTCTCATTCCTAGGCCCGTATTTTACTACCCCAAATTCTTTCCCCCTCCCTTACAATTTATGGCAGGATGCCAGCGAAGCAAAGAAGCTGGAGATGGCAGACCTGACGGACTTAGGTTTTTAATTTGCCATCATTTTGTACACTGATGAGGGTAGCCAGGAAGGGTAATGTGTTATTATTTTCTTCTTCCCTTGTGAATTTTATTCCTTTGAATGTGTTGTTAATTATCTCATAATTTTGTTAATTATCTCAAAATTATCTCCATAATTTTGTTGTATGGCTATATATATATTATACATATTATTTGCTCTGTGCTAGATTGAATTATTTTGTCCCTTTAATCTAGCATTCTTTTCTTTTGACTATCAATGTTCACCATAATGACGGGTGAATGTTCCTATCAACTTGGGAAGATTGAGTCAATTGGGATTGAATTAAAGGCATTTCACACATAGTTCACACCCTATGACCGTAATGGAGTTTGGCCATTAGGTCATAATTTGTGACAATCATAAAGTGGGTCACCCAAGTGACTGACTTGATTTTACAATTTTTGCAGTGGTTATTAGTGAATGCTATAGTTGTTAAGTAAGCCAATTGTTTGTTATGGATGAGTTTTGTTGAAAACCAGAAATAAATGCTGGGGTTTGGGAACAACATCATAAAACACAATCATATGACTGTGGGACATTGCAAATGGCCATAAATGTGAGTAGGTTTCCAGGTACTGGAAAAGTGGTTATATAAATGTGTGTGTGGGGGGGGGCATTAGGTTGTAAGTATCCCAGGGGAGATCCAGCTTAACTTCAAATGGTCCCTAAGTGACCAATTGTAAGTCGAGGACTAACTATACAAACAATGAGCTCTTCTATTGCACAGATATCCAAAGACTGCTCTAAATTTGCACTGAAATAATTGAGGACCTAATCCTTGAGGGAAAACTAAAGTTTCGTATCCTCTAGTAATTGAAATGCTGCAATGCATCTGTCATGGTTCCGACAGATGAAACTCTTCAAAAAAAACTTTGAAGCAGTGTTTATCTTAAAGAATCTTTATTTTGAGTAGCATAACATCGGCAGTGCATAACTGAAGCAAAAAGCTGAATTCCCTCCCCTGAGCACATAGTATCAAAGCACAATTCCCTCCTTCAATTGACAGTCATAAATCACATTTCCCTATGAGCTTGAAGTGCAGGCCTCCTCTCCAGTTCTTCAGCCCACAAATTCCTTATCAGCTCTGTTACAAGAACCTTGTTTCTCATACTAGGTCTAGTGTTGTTATGTCTAGCTGGATTCTCGTTCACATCCTCCCTCCCAGCATCATCTAACTCTAAAAGCAAAAGGTAAACAATGGCTACATTTCCCTTTGATGTCAATGCAAAAATATCTGATGTTAGCAGCGTTGACATCATCATCATCACTTCTATCACTATACAAATATTTAATTCACATAAAACTTTCCTTAGATATTCAAATGCATTATCTCCAATCTCCAATACTTTTCTTAAAGGATAAAACTACATAGTACAGTTGTACTAGTCACTCATGCATTTGTGAAACATATTTGAAAGTAACATAGACAGGCCATCATTCCATCAATCAAATGCTCCATCATTGCTACTTGCCCTTGGTAGCTATGTTCCTATCAAGATTATGTTCAGAAGCAGTACTTTAACTGTATGTATATTATTGCTTTCAAATTTGGTAAAGGAACACAGACCTATTTGTATTAAAATGATATTTGAAACAGCTTGCATTGTCTTTGGCATCAGTAAACTTTCTAAGGGGAAATTATAAATAAGAATTCTGCACTGGAAATTTAGAGTATTGCACATCATAACACTATTGCAATTTTATCTAAAACAGTTTCCTATTTACATAATGTGGGATGTAATTGAAATGCGTGGGACAAAATTGATTGTGTGTGTGAGTGTGTGCTGTAACTTCCCACACATTTTTATTGTGGTAAAAACAAATGTAGATGATGCCATCTGCTTAACTCAATATTATGACTGAATTCAGTAATATGACTGGTTATTGAGTCAACAATACACATTTTCTGAAAAATACATACAGTACAAAGAAGCACTTTTGAAGATTCAAAAGCAATATATAAAAAGATAAATACTGACTATATACCTATCTCTGGGAAAAGATACTGTAGTTTTATAATAGATACCTGATGCTTCCAGAGAACACTTTTATTCTATTGATGTTCTGTTGCCTCTAAAAGGATAATAGTCTTCTAAGTGTAAACCTCCTATGCTTTCTATTTTATTTTTTTTATTATCCATCTTACTTTAAAAACCCCAGACATAATTGTGTTAGTACAACTGTCAAGAACAGCCAGTCATCTGAAAGTACTGATATAAAAGAAATTCACACATGCATTACACTTTATTTGCCCTTTGTCTCTTGATAAGTGTTCCAGAGCACTTACCTAGATAGATGTATGCTATAATGACCACCTCAGACCTCTCTCTTTTTCTTCACACAGGGTGTTGTGTCATCAGCCCACAGGGGATTACCAGCAGCTCCTAACAATTGGATTTGAGGAACCTTCCCATACCTTAGCTACAGACCTCTTAGTGCAGATGCTAAGTGCTCAGAGTTCTGGTCTTCTTAATCGTGAGTTATCCTGCTGGCTGGGCCCAGGAGAACAGGTGCAGTAAAATGTACATAACCTTCAAGTATATCACAATGTGTATTTCATGTATATGATTGCTGCACAGCACCACCAGCACTGCATTATCAGCATCGCCAACACCACATTTTCAAGAGCATTATTCCAGATGGCAGTTACATTTCTTTAAGTTATGTTTCTTTGAATATAACAACTCATATCAGTTCCAATGTATTTTGAGGCTATTCCTTCATACTATTCAGGGCTGTAGATTTAGTAAACAAATCAACAGTAAGATTGGCAGTACAGAAGTTAGGTCTTCTAATACCAGATAAAACATTCAACTAGCGATGAAAAGCTTCCCTATCCTTGTGACTTTACTTCTTGCATTAATGAGATCATGAATGGGATGTCTTGACTATTTTGAAATTGTGACAAGCTGTGGGTTTCCATGGGTTCACTATGGCAATTATTCTAATGTTACAATGTTAAATATTATAAGCCACATTTCACTTTTTAAAAAATCACCTTGTGTCAGAACAAATGATAAACTACAATAATTTAATTTAGAAAAAAAAACACAAGAAAATAAAAGGAATGTTCAGTTTTGTTTTGTTTTTAAAAAAGCGGATGCTAACACAATGTATTTTAGAAACGTACTGGCCAACTATGCAAAACTAGGCTGGATATAGTCTTGTTTTTCTCTACCTGCAGTAATAATAACTGGAATTCATTTGCAAGAATTTTATGTTCATAAGAAACTTGGAACTCAGAAATGCAGCCTGAAATTACTGCTACAGAACTAACCCTCCTATGAGTAATAACAGGTCCTGCGCATATGTTGAAAATTTTCACAGGGCACATAATAGGCATAGCTGGTGTCCTCTTATGTGTGAAGAAAGTGCTGCCTTTAAAACATAGACCATCCAGTTAAAACATGAAGAAGAAAGTTAAGCAAGAAGGCAGAGTTGGAAGGGCACCTGTTATAAAACAAAACAAATAAAAAAAGGAGTCCTGCCATCTAGTGGTCTAAATATTTATTTCAAAGGTCAACCATACTGGTGTGTAGTTTTTGCAACACTGTGCAATAGAATGTATACAAACATTGCGATGTTTTTGCTTTGTTAAAATATGAAACAAAATGTACACAAATGTAAATAACAGAAATGAAAATAAAGAATTATGGTAAACACATATAAGAAAAGGTGTATTTTTTATTTTGCAACACAGAATAAAAACAATACAAACTTTAAAAAAATCCAACAAACCTGAATAAATTAGAAAATGACAATTAAGAAAAATACAAACATTTAAAACATTCATATTCAATGTATGTCTACAATGACATTTTTATTATCAAAACTTTTTCCACTATAATTTTCCAAAGTATTTCATTGCAATAATTTTTCAGCAAAATAATGTCCCATGGTTTTCAATATTATTGTTCCAATAAAAGATTTTGGTATCTCTACATTTTAAAATAAAAATAAAGCAGGTAATAAGAAAAAATGAATTGATTTCTTAGGTGGATTGATTTACGTGCAGAATAAAATATAGATAGTAAACCACCTCAGGATTTATTATCAAAGATAGTTGAATTATTATTTATTTCTTCTAAATCTTTCAACTCAAAACATTGACTAACTGGATAATAATGCAATGTTAGCAAGGTATGATATCACCTACAGATTATTTTTATGGTAAATTAAACAGCCTGTGACCCCTTTGTTATCATTTCCTTACAGATTTCTCAATGCCTTCAACAGTTGCAGAGCTTCTAATGTATTGCCTTCATTGGAAAAATTCTTTACAATCCAGAGATACACAAGAGATGTATATGTCTTTAAAATAGCCATGTTGAATTGTGTAGCACAGTTAAACATCAGAAATTAATCACATCAAATTCTGTATTAAGTCATGAAATGTTTTATGATAATGCTTATGTCATATTTTATAAAAATTGCCAAATTTCAATTCCATGGAAGACATGGATTCCAGATTTTGCATGCATTGTAAGTTAGACCATTTGAGATATCTTCAACAATTTTTGATTTATGATACATTTCACCCAGGTAAAGGTCATACACAAACAGAATTTTAATAATATATAGATTCATGGGGACTTGCTGAAATAATTTACTGTAAAAGAAATTTGCTTACCACAAGGAAGTCTGATGAGATTCATTAAGTTCATTACCCAAATTATCCTGCATTCTTTTAGACTCTCAAAAATAGTCTAAGACTTTTGTATTACATTTTTGAGAGTTCATTATTATTATAGTTATATACTATTTTTAAATATTATTAATAGTGCTTTGTATCATATACTTTATTCAGTTGAAATCAAGTTGGTGCTTCTTTGCAGCACTTTTACAAAATATATTTGGGTTTACAATTAAATCTCTAATTCTATACACTCTTCTGTAAAATAAATGCCTTGTATTTAGCCTCATGCTTAGCCTGCAGTGATTAAGAAATGAGAGAGGAAGCCAGGAGCCAGAAGTTGTTTCTAGCTTCTCCAAACTTGAATATTGATTTGAAAAGAGATGCATATATTAAAATTGGCAGAATTATTCACTGTCTGAGGCAATTGTTCTGCTCACAAAATATGCATCAGTGAGAGACAAGGTCAGGATAGTCTTTCTATAGCTTTTCTTTTTGAAGTATCAAGGGTAGACTGCTGGAAGAGTTTTAGAAGCTTTTGAAGCTGAGAACTTTTATTTGTTAGACTGAACAAATACTTGCTATGTGTTTTTATACTTTTCAAATAAGCAACAAGCTCCTGAAATACTGTAGGATGTCATGTTCCAGAGCTGTTAAAAATTATTAAAGCCAGTATCAGTAAAAGCAAGGAGAATGGTTTTTTCATTTTTCTATTAGCAACTCTAAAGTTAAATTCATGCAACTTTGAAATTGCATTGAGATATTAATATTACAAGTACCCAGACAAGGTAAAAAGTCACGTGTTGTATATTTGCCCAAGCTCTTTCTAGCATTTTAAAGTCATGGAATACTGAAAAGTTTCCTGAGTTTTAAGTGGTAGGCATGTGCTGTTTCACACTTTCCTATATAGGACACATATTTCATTCACATCAAGGAGTGTAGGGTTCTTAATCTGGGCCCACAAATGCCTTGGGGAGGGTCTCTGAATAGGTTTCAGGGGATCTATGAATTTAGATGGGAAAATTATAATTTTATTTTCATCTGTTTTACTATGTTATATCTATTTTTATACTTTGATAACTGTATTTGAACATAATTGGTGTTTGTACATTTCACCAAACTCTAAAAGTGACATAAAAAAGTATAAGAACTAACGTAATACATTTCAGCGTCATATTGACTCTAAGACAGATTTCTAAATTACTTATAGTAAGCACTCTATAGAAAGCTGAGTTAAGCAAGCTTCTGAGAATAGAACTTTATATAACAATATATATAAATTTTTAATTTGTTTGAACAGAATGTGAATACATAAGGATACAAATTGTAGGTCGTTGACCACAATAATTCCTCAGAAGACACCAACTATGATTTTCTAATTCATCAAGCAGAACACTTTCAATGATGGCACAAAACTAGAGGGTTTTTGATTTAATATAGAAGTTCCATATTCTGCTGCCATTTTGGGGAAAATTGCATATTTTTGAAAAATGCCTTAAGTGGTCATACCTCAACTAGCCAAACTCTGCAAACATCCCACTTATAGAAGAAGAGATTTTTCTCAATGCAATAAGATCCAAAACATCCAAAGAGCAACACATTTTGGTCCATTCAAAACAGCATACATCAGTTTTCCTTGCTCATGGACATCAGTCTATGTGTGTACAAATTGGTTGGTTGAGAAATGGGTGTTTGTCATTTTCAAAAACATGCGTTTTTATCCAAAATAATAGACATAATCTATATTCCTGCATCTAGTTGTATGTATGGTGAATCTGGCAAATTTTGGCCCTGGTCAAGACGTGGCTCTGGTCACGAATATATGGACTATATTCGAAATATGCCCGTTTTTGCCTGTCTATCAAAGTTGTGGCTTTTCCTGCCTCAAAGTATTTTATTTTCATATAACTGAGATGTATTTAATTCATTTGGCTGAATGCGGCTGTTTTAAGAACATTAGCTTCGAAAAGCTACAGGAATAGTGTCAGTTCCCGCGGACGTCTGTAATTTGTCGACAACTCAAATATTCCGATCCTGCGCAGGACTTGTGAATTTGGCTGGCGGGGAAATAGGTGCTCCAGGCAGTTTTGCATTATTCTCGAGGGCCTGAGGAGTTTAGTGTTAAAATCCTGAAACCCTTCCACTTTGTTTCAAAGGTAAGTATTACAACTCCTCGTTTTCATTTATCTCAAACCCAGCTCACTCTCTTGCCTCAATTGCAATTGACGGAAAGCCATACTAATGCATTCCGTTCCTTGTGACTTCCCGTCTTTTAAAATCGTTTCTTCCTCAAAACAGTTCGGGTTCTCACATAGTTACATTAGCACTTATTTACTAATAATACTAAGGAAAATCAATTCTTATTCCTAAGCAGAAAAGCACTCGAGAACACATCTGCCCGCACCCAAAATGGCGATTAGTTCCTCTTTGCATTTCACCGCCATACACTCGCTAGAGAAACTTCAGCTGCCCCAACTTCCCTTTCCCACTCCCGGCAGCCATTTTTCTTTCTCTGTAAGCCACGGGACTTGAAAGACAGGAAGGAGCCGGCACGCATCCTTCCAGCCAATCATTAAGCAAGTGCACGAGACTGGCAGGCCTAGGAGCCGACGATTTCCTTCTCTCTTTTGCGAGGAGGCGGGACTTTGTTTGACGATGGCCAATGAGAGGGGAAAGAACTTCCTTCCCCAATCCGCCCTGTTCCAATTGGCGTGGGGCGAGCGTTCAGCGGTCGAAGCAGAAGCTCGAGTTGGACGCGGGTAGGTGAGTTAGTACGGTGAGGCGGGAGCGAGGGAGGGAAGCGGTGTGGAAGCTCCTACGGGCAGGAGAGAGCTTGGCATGTGGCTCCTTGACTTTCGGTCGCGGTTCCAGGGGCCGGTAACGGACAGGCGCCCGCTTGGTGTTGCACATAAGGGGAAAAAAAAAGTTTTCATGTGCTCGACTCCGTGACTGGTCCGTTCAAACGATTTACTTTACCCTGCTGGGATACGTGAAAAAAGCTATTTTGGCGACTGGGTTGTCTATCCGCCCCCCCCTTTTATTATGGAAAGTAAAGGCTCGACCTGCCTGTCCGCCGCCCAGGTAAAGCGGCGCAGAAGGAGAGGTGCAGGTTGGGGGGGGGGGCGTAAGCTTTAAGCCGCTGCCGGTTTCGGAGGTCGTCGGCCGGGTAGGAGCCCCGCAGCTAGGCGAACTCGTGGCGACATTTCGATTTCAGCGCTCGGCTCGTAGCTTCCTCCGCCGTCCGATCCTCCTTGTGGGAGCGAAGCTCTTTGCGCTTTTTCCTCCTCTCGGCAGCAGCTTCCATAGGGCCCTCCGACGGAGTATCCTAATCTAGGTGAATTAAAAAATAGACCAGGGTATGATTGAATTTCTGTGGGAAGTTTCCCCATAAACGAAAGCTGACGCAGTGCTAGCCTGTTCTGCGTTTTGCTCCAATCTAGGAGCATGTTTTGCGGGCAGACGTCGCAATTTGTAACTTCTGGGTTGGTTGAAGTCTTTCTTTCTCAGTAGTTTTGGAAAGAATATTTCACCTTTGCTAATGGTCTTTATTTTTCTGTTTATGAATACTAAACGTTATTTATTAGATATTTTTACCCCACCTTTGCTTCTCAAGGGGAGATACAGCATTCAGTTATTTCTCACAAGAATAACCCTGAGAAATAAATGATTGGCCTAGACCAGGGGTAGGCAATCTTGGCTCTTTTATGACTCGTGGACTTCAACTCCCAGAATTCTGGGAGTTGAAGTCCACGAGTCATAAAAGAGCCAAGGTTGCCTACCCCTGGCCTAGAGTCACTCCTAAATGGTGGTGGTGAATTTAGACCAAGGTTTTCCTAATTCTGCATCTCAACCACTACCCTTTTTTGCTTCAAAGAAACAAACAAAAAGGCTGCTTCCTATAATGCAGTCACTTTAGGCTTAGAACCTCTTCTCAATGCCAAGTCCTATACTACCAACAGTGAGATGCAAGGCTGGTGTCCAGTATATCAGGAGGTCTTTGGTTAGGGAAGTCAGAAGTATCTTTGTAGGCTACCTAACTCCCAAATTACTCTGAGTGATTTACAACTAAAAAAACCAACACAGAAAGTATAACTGACTTGAAGATCAAGGTACCAAAACAAATCAAATCAACAATACAGAAAAAGGACTCCCCCGTCCCCCCTGTTCCAATAGCTTGTGAGAACAAGATTTTGGCAATTTCTTAAAGGACATAAAGAAGGGAGCCACATGAAACTCTACTAGGAGATGCTCATTCCTGAGCGAAGGAATTGTAACATAGGATACATTACCAAGTTATGAACCATTTTTAAAACTCAATTTTGTTTAATTCTACTTCAGTTTGTGTGCGTGGGTGCACGCCTGAGTCAGTGTCAACTCTTATTGACTAGAATTGGTTCTTAACCTTTTTGAACGAATCGCCCCCCTGAGCCAATGAGGAAGTTGTCATTGCCCCCCTCCCCCAACATAACCTCTCAATCACAATATAGGAAATAATTCTTCAACTTGTTTGTTTTCTTTAAAATTGTCATCAGGACATATGATGCAAATTTATTGCCAGTTTTTTTCCTATATCTCAACTGTGTGAAAAATTTTGGTGCCACCTGTCACTTTAGTCCCAAACTTCGTGATACATGTATTTCATTATTATCTTATTTATTCAAGACACTTAAATATAATGACCACTGAAAACAAAACACTGGGAGCCGCAAAACCCTTT